TATCTGTCGACTTTTGATTGCACCAACGAGCATGCTTTCCGATAGACGGGAACCAATTCAGCTGCAGGGTAGGTTCTGGTTAGCGACGTATTCAATCTTCTATTGATTATTCCTACAATGTTATGAACTTATATTAAGTTTAATATTAGCTGTCTCAATGATGCTTAGTAACCGAAGACATAAAAGCTTGGAAACTTGTGGTAGCACCTTGTATTGAATCGTGGAAGATGAATTTCTACTGATTTGTTGCTTCATATACACTAGATCGGATATTACAGAGCTTTCTCACGCTGAAAAGCGCTCAAGAAACTAAAGATACATTTTATAAAGTCGTTTTTTTTAATCTAATTAATTCTCTATACAAGAGCAGGTGAAGTTTATAAGTTGTCGGACTCAGTAGGTTACCTTTCTTTTGTATTGGAATTAAACAATGACTAATAAATTTTACACTCAGTGTTGAGGCGAAGAAAAAAACTCTAACTATGAACTTTGTGAGTTTCAGTGTGAATGATTCGAGAACTACACCTCCTCTGAATGATGAGAGTCTAATATGAATGTTTATTTAATGAACGGAATATTCCCATATTGAGTCATCAGAAAAAGACGTAAACAGCGAAGAAAATTTTCTTTTCGACGATTCATTTTTATAAGCTGCTGTACAATCGTAACTTATATTTAACAAAGAATTCATGAGACAACCAATCAGATACTGGTAAAATCTGTCCTCAGGAAACGTATTACGTAATGTAAGATAGCGTGTAGAAGAGGTGACTGTTTGGAAATTAGAAAAGGGGGCAAAAGTTGTTAGGACGTAATAAGTGTGGGATAATGACTAACTAATAAGATTGTGTAGAGTGGACAAAAACTAGTGGAAAGACGATAAAGTGTTTTTATAAAACCTGTATGGAAATGTATTGTTATCAGTAAACAATAACAGTGACAACAAAATAAGGATGATGAGAATAATAACAATAATAATAGTATACTTACATTATAAAAAGAAGCAAAATTATAGTAAGAACTTTACTCTAGTCACGGTAGGGCGAGTGAATGTATGCAGGGCTTTTGAACTGAGAGTTCTGGTTTCACACACCGAATAGCCAATGATTCATCTATGTTTAGACGGCGTATTCAAAGTCTTTTCATGCGATAATGAGGATCTCTGTAAGGCATTCATGTGGGAGGGTTCTATGTCCAGAGTTGACAAAGTGTTCGAGGATAGAGCTGCTGGTATTCTTCCGTTCTCTGGAATACGTTTACAGACATGGTGTTGCGTATGGACGACATACTTTGCGCCACACGAACAAGTAAACTGATAAATAGACATTGAGGTGGCCAAAAGCGGTATTTTGTCCTTAACGTTAGACTGAATTAACTGTTTGCTGGAGAATGTGATGCGTAAGGCAGCTGCTTGAAATGTCTTCTTCAGACATCTAGAGAGGCGGTGTCTAAGAATTTCTGCTTCGATTGTCACCTCTGAATTCCAGGCTCATAGAGAGAGAGTTTCTTTGAACCGCGCGAAGGCACTTCTTTTGAAATCTTTCCACTATAGAAACCATTACACGGTTTTATGGATAAGTAATGTTGCTCAATGAATTCTTTATTTTGAGTGTATGAAACTTAGCAAAGAATGATAAACTTTCTTCTCATAAAGTATCACTATTAATTACCAGGTCACTAGATAATCGCTTAACTATTATTCACAACAGCATCCGAGTAAAATCCCCCGTGGTCCCTATTCTCTTTTTTTTTCCTTCACGTTCCCCGGTGGAACATAGGGCTTCAAGCTAGTGGCTTGAAGTTTCTGTAGCAGTGTTTATTTCACAGGATGGGGTTGCTAGCCTCATGCCCAACCTTTCCTCTTCACCAGCATTATTTCTGGCTTAGCGAGATAAAGGAGTGCGTCGGCCGGGGATCGAACCCCGGACCATGTGCATGATCGGCGATCCCTATTCTCTGGATTGATTTAATTATTAAATAACCAGGCTAATAATTATGTCAAATACTGTTATGATATTTCTGATGATATTGATTATTTAACTTCGAATACAGTAGCGCTTGCCCGCGTTTCGAATTCTACTATCTATATGCATTCAAACTCTTCTATTTAAATACTAAGGAATGAATCGATGGGAAACATTAGAAATACGAGCCTACGGAGAATATATCACATTTGACTATCTGCATGATGTTACATCTTTTTGACGGTTCCCACATTATGTAAATTAACCAGTACTGGGTAATAAGACACACTGTGTGAGGATTGAATCGAACCTGGGACCGTATTGGTTGAAAGTGGAGTGATTGGCCCATTGAGACATATCTCAAACTAAAGTACTCAACGTTACGTATTATTTGAAAGAAAATATACTGTTTTAGTCCCGTGGGACTAATGTAAGTCAGTGATTATCCCGATATACAAGAAAGGAGCAAAGTCTTCATGTGATAATCACAGGGGGATTAACTTGACCAATATAGTATCTAAAGTTCTAAACTCAATAATTATGCGTAGACTAAATGGTTCTCAAGAGAAACAGACGAGAGAATCAGGCAGGCTTTATATCAGAAAGAGGGTGTATAGATCATATCTTCACCAGATTCTGGGACATAGGCATACTTCCCGGCGTCCAACAATCATTATATTTCCTGACCTAAAGGCGGCATTTGATTCCGTCGACCGTGAAGTACCATTGTGGTGAGAGCTGTCTACTAGCCAAATTGGTAGACAGTAATTTACGTCAATGTTTACGTTCTCAAGATTTGTCGTGAGAAAATATGAACAAAGACTGATTCAAAACCGACCACAGCAGACTTTGCGTAGGCGGATACAGTTAACATATAGATGATGTGACATTCAAGAAAGAGTCACAAAGAGATGGAAGATTAACTTTAAGTGAGAAACAATCAATCAGAAGATTATGTTTGTTTGCTTAACTAATCTATAATAATGTACATAAAAATATATAAATATGCTTTGATTTCCTTAATAAATGATCTGTTGCCTGGCCCTTGTCTTCTGTTGTTACACTATGGCGATGTGTGGCTGTGAAGGGAGTGCCCAGAGAGTATATCGTACTAATCAAGGCATTCTACTCGAATTCACAAAGCCGTTTAGGAGCTTACAGAGAGTCGTCATCTGAAGTGATGACAACCAGGGGTGTCTGTCAGGGATGCCCCTTATCTCCCATTTCTTTTTAGTTTCATCATAGATGTACTAACGGACTTAACCCTAACTTACTTCAGTGACTTAGGGAATAGTCTTGTTGGCTTAGAATATGCAGATGATATAGTCCTTTTAGGTTAAGACGGTGACAAAATGCAGACTCTTCTGAACACCTTCAGCGGCGAGCAAACTTCGAATGCTGGCCATGTAATTCTCAACTTTCAAATGTACGATGATGCTATAGGATTGGACTATATCGACTCCTAGCTTAAATATACGCAAGAGTGTAGTCGTAGATCGTGTTGGCCACTTCACTTATTTGGGAAGTTGCTTCAGACCCAACGTGATGGTCTCCGACGAAATGTCAACACGGACACGAAAGGCTTGTGTGGTATTTGCGAAATTACGTCATCTCTGGAGTACACGTGATATCGATTAGAGGACGTGTACATACTGAGCCCCTTTTATGGCTGTGAGATATAGCCACTGAGAGTGGAAAACATGAAAAGGCTAGATGTCTTTGATCATAGGCGTTTGGGTTCTATCTCCCACTGTAGGTGGTATAATAGGGTGAGTTATATTGAAGTTAGGCTTCAAGTGTTAGGTAAGAAAGGAATATCAATCGATGAGGTAGTGAAGCTACACAGATTGAGATGTCTAGGAGATGTGTTACGTATACGTGGCCATCACCTTCCTCGACGGGCAATGCTAGCTGACATGGGATCAGTTTGGAAAAGTAGCTAGTGGTGGTCAATCCTAAATATGGCATTAGTCCATGAAATTCTTAACAGTTAGTCTGATCCACATACAGAGGTTTCAGACTGCCTGGTTTGGGTCCTCAGGATGGTAAAAACCAATGGCTGGAGACTACTTGGAGATATAGCTCAAAATTGTTGCCAGTGGCGCAGATGTGTTCACTCTCTTTAATCTGCCACCACCATATCCATCAAACCCTATTGATTTTCCATGTTACTATTCTTTCCCCTTCACATTTCCGCTCATAATCTTTCTTTCGAATGTTTTTTTGCTGTCTTCTATGTTGGGCCAAGTTAAACTTTAAGCACCACTAACTAACAATGGAGTACAATAGCACGAATGACCTTGAATCGCTCACTGACCAAGTAAGTAAAACCTGGCATATAATGTTATCATCAATAAAATATGCTCATCGAAGTGTTATGCTATTAAATGGGACATCTGGCAAGTTTCAGTTTAGGTTTGGGAAAGATTAAGTTACGCTTCAAGCCAAGGACAAGTAAGGGTTAGGTTAACCTAACAAAGGCGACATTAGAGTTCGTTCGAGTTAGATTACAGTTAGCTTAGAGATATTTTCAGGGTTAGAAGACCTAAATAATTACATGATTAGGATGTGGTTAAATTACTCTGTTGATATAAGAGTAGAACTTGTGCACTGTGGTGGAGTATAATTCCATTGTGGATAACATTTATTTTGATAAAGTCTCACAGTGTTATACAGTAATATTTACTGATGACGTTTCGAGCACAATTTATTGCTCAGGAAATATTACTGTATTACACTATGAAACTTTATCAAAACAAATTTTACCCACAATGGAATTATACTCTGTTGATACTCCAACATAAAACTGAGAGCTATATTTATCACATGTGAGAGGAAGGTATTCCATACACAAAAATGCCTCCTTCACGTGATTGGTGCGTTTGAGGTCATTCGCTGGTGATTGGTAGTTAGTGGTGCTTAAAGTTTAACTTTGCCCTATGTTGAAACCAGTCAGTCAGTACTGTTCCAATCTCTATATCAAAAAAAGAGATAGTTGACTTCTTTTAAAGTTGAAAAAGGTTACAAACTTGAGTGATTTCTATCAAAAATTTTCTATTAAGCGATTCGCATTATACAAATATGATCCTTATTTACAAATCAATCAATATAGTGCTTATTTTTGTATTACGGACTAGTTGGTTTTGAACGTTTCCGTGATTTACGCTTGGACTGTTGATCTGGAGAAGCAGAGGAAGCAGCATCAACAGTAGTAGAAGTAGTGGTTGGATCAGATTTAATTGTCAAATTTCCAAATTGCTTGATATCACATTTATGTTCCATGTTAGTGTCATTATTATCTGTACTCTTATCGATAGTTACATTTTGTTTTGCACTCGATAAAGCATCACGTGATTTATATTCAGCTGTGGAACAAACAAAAAATTGGGAACAAAAAGTAAACATATGTATGCTGTGATGATGAAACAGTTTAATAAAAAAAATATCCGAATCATAAATAACTTTCACATACTGAAAGCATATAACGCTCTAGTGGTATTTATCAATACGGTATTTTCATTTGACGTCACATATATTGAAGGATGCGCCTACTCCGTAGTATCGGTGGTTAAAAAAGAATAATCTCTGATATATAGTGCAGCCATCCAGAAAACTATTGGATTCAGTTAGGACTTTCCAATTGATTGATTGGACTGAAGTCCTCGGCCTTAGGTTAACATGTCGGTTTCTTGTGCAGATGCTTCGACGATGCCTGATTATTTAAAAGGTGGTAAATTGGTGACTAGCAGTGGGGGGATCTAGGATGAGTATTTCGCCCTATTTAGGACTCATCATCTGAATGCACCCACATTCATTCCCCAGTGAATGATGGTGTAGCCTCTGAGACTGAAACCCAATACTCGTCGTTTCAAACGCCAAAGCGTTACCCAACAGACCATTTGGGCCATGATAACACTTTGACCTTTGGAACTATGGGTACTGGGTTCCAGCCTCAGTGGGAACACCATTACTTGCTGGCAAGTGCAGGTTTATTCAGTGATGAGTCCCAAATTGGACGAAATTAGTATCCTGGATTCCACTCCTAGTCACCAGCCACTAATTTACACCCGGAAATTTGTTAGAAAGACGTGCCATGTGCTGATTATTCGCGTTTAGTCACAACATCTAGCAAACAAATACGTAAGGTGAGATATAGACACTTGTATGAGCACTTGATACACTGGTGTACAAAACAGATGGATTCGGTTAAACCATACGAACAGTAGAAAAAGAAATCTAAAACGTTTTCTCATAACTGTATAATCTTTTGACAAAGAAGAAAGAATAATTTATTGGAAGTGAAAGTGTTCAACGCTTTAAAGGTAACAAAATTTGAAGTTTCAAACAAATCATTGTCATTTTTTGATAACAAAGTTATTTGTGAAATAACTGTGGAGGAAATATGCAGACATCCGTTTGTATAATTTGTCTCTTGAATGCCTTTCTTGTAAGAAATAAACCAAAGTGGGAATGTACTCACTTGCATGTCATCACGGAATACCGTCGGATAAGGCAAAACAATAATACAAAGTAATATAGACAGGTGGCGAGAGATTAAACATCGAGTCTGACTTCATCGAATCGACACTAATAAAATGTGCTGGAAAAGTTATCCAGTTATTAGTACATTGTATTGTAGTGTGCGCTACTGATAAGATTTATCAGTAGTATATGAAGAGACGTTCAGTGGCACACAAAAATACCAAATAACAGAGATCAACTCGTAAAACATAACAAACCCTTACAAACCAAACCATAGAAAAATAACAGAGAGATAGATTTGACGTCAAAGAGAGCAAATGAACCGGTGCTGCAGTAAAACATGGGAGACACGGAAAGAGGGCAAAGAAAGCCAACACGAAGGGCAGAAGTTGCACAACACGAAAGTTATGTTCAAATGATGGGGCTTGCAGATAAGGTGTACATAATTTCCCTATATAGAACTATCAAATTCCAAATAAACATTCCGTTAGCAAGTCTCTTGTCTTCTGCTATTACATTATCACTGTGTTATGTCGAATAAACTTATCTAATATGGGATTATATTGTACTTAGTCCTCAAATTCTACTCTTATATTGCGGGAGGAAGTAATTTAATAAACATTACAGATGACTGGTATTAATAGCATATTGCTAGTAAAGTGTATAAATGGGTTTGTTTATTTAGACTCCTTTACCCGAAACGGGTCATTTGTGTAAACAGACTTATCATGCGTGGGCTGATGATACTACCCAGTTGCCAAGGCTGGTTTAAGCGGAGGGTGGGTTCAAACTCAGGATCCACTGGCTGAACTTCAAGTGCTGAAGCCAATGAGCGGTGTTTCCAAATGGGCAGTATAACTTCAGAAAGCATTCTATATACTTCGCAAGGTTTAAATCATGATGTTACATTTTACTGGTTGACTTACAAGAGTAGTTGGATACCAATCCTATCAACCAGTAGTGGTGAAGTGATCCAAACACCAGATGGTCAAGCAACCAGTTTCACTCAGCTTACACGGTCACCAAATCAATTCAAACTACCCAAATTTTGGCTAGCTGCTTGAGAGAATTGGTATTACATAGAATCAAATTTGGAATCTACGCAATCCGAGGTAAGACTTCACAACAGTTCCATCTAGAAAGCTGAATTTTTCAAAAGAATGGATACTGAACAAAGAGTACTGTTTTCGAAAACTTCATCATCAGGCTCTACAGTTATATGTACACAGTATAGTGAATGAATGAATTAGTGTTATGAACAACAGTAATGTTTAAATAACATCGAATCAATAATATCAACAAATTACAGTTCAATCGCATCAACATAAAATAAGTTGAATGTCAGAAAAATTAGGAAAGATAATATTACAAATTCATGAATTTATAGTCTCCGCTGAAGGCCAGAGCAGTAGTAGTGGCTGGCTAGACTTGCTTCTTTTGAACACAGAGCACTGGTTGTTTGAGGCGAGTTGCAATAGCCTCTGCTGTTTGGAGCAAGCGGTGCTTCGATGATTTTGGCAATTTGTTAGGCACCCGGTAGATGGTAGAGTGGGATTCTTCAACGCTAGCTTTGTGGCCGATTTGGACCAGATGGTCCAATATTGAACTGTTAATGGTTTTCACTACACCTTTACTTAGCCATAGTGGGAGATGTTCTCGACCACGAAAAATCAAGTTCTTAGAGCAACGGCCAATATAAACCGCTCCACAAGCGCAGTTGAATTGGTAGATACAATGTGAAGTGGCTAGTCTAGGTAATTCATCTTTCAATCGAGGAATCACCATCGGTCGTGTAGAACTGTTATCCATTGACATTATTATTATGGCTAAGTAAAGGTGTAGTGAAAACCATTAACAGTTCAATATTGGACCATCTGGTCCAAATCGGCCACAAAGCTAGCGTTGAAGAATCCCACTCTACCATCTACCGGGTGCCTAACAAATTGCCAAAAACATCGAAGCACCGCTTGCTCCAAACAGCAGAGGCTATTGCAACTCGCCTCAAACAACCAGTGCTCTGTGTTCAAAAGAAGCAAGTCTAGCCAGCCACTACTACTGCTCTGGCCTTCAGCGGAGACTATAAATTCATGAATTTGTAATATTATCTTTCCTAATTTTTCTGACATTCAACTTATTTTATGTTGATGCGATTGAACTGTAATTTGTTGATATTATTGATTCGATGTTATTTAAACATTACTGTTGTTCATAACACTAATTCATTCATTCACTATACTGTGTATATATAACTGTAGAGCCTGATGATGAAGTTTTCGAAAACAGTACTCTTTGTTCAGTATCCATTCTTTTTAGAAATTTTAATGGGCATTTTTAATCAGTTAAAAGTTGAATTACTTAGAACATCATAAAACTAGTCGGCTTATTTAATCTCTTCGTAATCTTCAGTTTCTGTTGGAACAAATTTTAAGTGTAAATCTACTTACTGCCCTGCAATCGTGTTTCATTTCTAAATGAACTCAAGTACAAAATAAAAGTAGCAGGCAAGTGTAAACCCAACAATTAGGAAGGAGGAATACGAATTCAAATTGAAGTCAGACGAATAATACTTTAACAATACAAGCTACAGACAAACAATTGAGAATTGAAGGTCAAATGAATATATATGACATAAAACCAATTAATCAATGAGGTTAAATAAATCAAACTTCGTTATATTATTCGACTGAATATATTATACCCAATGGCGGGTAACTATACTGAAATAGTCGGTTACGTTGACTGCGAACGATTCTCTCCGCATCTAGGAACTAATTCCGCTCATAAACTCAGAGTATTTTCTGGACAGCACTTATTTAGACAGTGTGATTTGCAAGAAAGTTCTGCTTATTAAATCTGCCTTAACATGATTTTGTTTATATTACCTCTGCTAAGTTCAATTTTCGCGGAGACACGTCATTTATATACTAGCTCTAACTTTAAGTTAGGTGTTTATCTCACCCGTATTTGATTGTCAACTTGAACAGGTATCCATTTCTACTGAATCCCTCCCTAATCAACAATGGAATACCTGTTTCTATGGTGTCATTGACGTAAATCATTATCAAAAAATAAGCGAAAAATTTTAAATACATCTCGTTTGTATTATATATGATAAGTCAATATTCAAACAGTTTAGTATTGGATTTACGCGCAAGTTTCGTTTTATCTTGCCATTTGAAGTTGCTTCCCTAGCAAAATACCTAGGAGTGATACACTATCATTGAGTTCTTTCAGTGTGACACTGAATTCATAATACTCATTGTATTCTCAACATTTTACTTCCGATACAAAGTTATAAATTTCTTGATCAAAAAATTATTTCATAAACACACTCAAAAATTGTTTGTGTAGGAATCACCAACAGGAATATAGTGATTAATTTTTTTCAAGTTTGAAGGCAGATTGATATCAGTTAGAGAACCATTGAAAACTAGAACTGGACAGCTGTTTTGCGCTAGTCTGGGACTCATCGGCAGTAAGCACCCACTGGGCTTCGAATCCAGGACCTTCCGGCTACAAGGCAAACCCATAGACCATCCAGCCATAGGGAGTGAAGACAAACACTCGCCACGGATAACATAGGCTAGTGGTCGCGCTAATATCATGAATTGGTAGAAGTTAGAATTCATGGACCATTGAGTCTGGTCTCAGTGGCTGAATGGTCTATGAGCTTGCCTTGTAGCCTGAAGGTCCTGGGTTCAAAGCCCAGTTGGTGCGTACTGCCAGTGAGTCCCAACTACGACAAAACACCTGTCCTGGACTCCGTGATTTACAACGGTTCTCTAATTGATATCAATTCACAGTCAAACTCGAAACATATCAAATTCCTACAAACTAACACTTGAAAACAGATTGGTTTTCGCTAAGCCACAGAACGGGATAGTGAAATAGTAGTAGTCAAAATTTACTGCTGACGCATGAGTGCCGTGTTTACATTTCTCCTATTATGTTGACAATACCAATTTCGATAAAATGATGTTTTCAACTGGGAAAATTAATCGGTTAGGCAATGGAATGACTCAAACCTAAGTAAACTGTACCGTCATGAACCAAGAGAATAAATCTTATCACGACGACAGAGGCCTAAAAAAACAACAGCAGGCTCCATTTTAACAAGGGTCATCATGAAGTATGTAATTTGGTGCCCGGTCTCAGAATCAAACCTATCGTCATATGCTTTAGTCTATACAACTAGATATGACTTAGTATATGAGCATATGTGTGCGTTGGTGGTACGGCGGTTGAATGCTCGTCAACCACACATGTGGTCCAGGGTTCGATCCCCAGCCGACGCACTCCTTTACCTCGCCCAGCCAGTAATAAGACTGGTAAAGAAGGAAGGTTGGGCATTCCCATCCCGTAAAATTGAACACCACTGCTACAGAAACTTCAGGCCTCTACATTGAAGCCCTATGTTCCACTGGGAGCGTGAAGGAATAAAAAAATATGAGAATATGTACTGAATAATTTAGTTGCACACTTATGCACTAACTGTTGAAGTACATCTCTACTATACGAATTCTGTACCTACTAGACCTAGCTAAGAAGAGGAAAGTTCAAACAGATGACCGATTGATTGGTTAAGATTTGAGACCTATTTCGCTATCGACAAACAAATCTGAGAAACAACAATGGATAATTTATGTCCAACAAACAACTTTTGTTAGGTTTATTTATTTTACTTTATTGCACCTTAACTAGTACACAAATAAAAGTGGTTATGAGTAGGATAATAGCCAACTGTTAGCACTAAATAAATCAAGGCTTATAGAGTTAATCTGACCGTCTAAGTTTTACACCTTCAAATGAGTGGACTTTAACTGAGTAAATCATAGATAATCGATGTCAGTGACATGTACGAGAGGGGGAGATGCCTGTACAAACACTCGTGATTCCATGCAGTTAGCGATGAACCACATCTGCTGTTTGGGGGCTGGCTAGTGATGCTACATGGCTGTGCAAACCTCCATGGAAGGTGGAGCACAGTTCGAAACCGTGACCCACTCGTTGGAAGTCGAAAGTTTAAACTAGTGAGTTACAGCTTCATATAATGACATGTAGTTGTTATATGTGGAAGTGTGTGGGCAGTTGTTACTTTGCAGCTGCCCACACCAAGGAAGTTGGTTGATTCTTCGGGTACCTGAAATAGAAAGAGGGTTAGTGTTGCGTGGTCGCAGAGCACAGAGGAGAACTGCTTGAGGCCCGTCACACACGGCCCGTATAAAATGGTTTCTTGGTCTGGTTCCGTATTAGTAAACTTACCGCCGGTTACGGACCACCGTAGGGTAAGTCTGGATGTACAATTGTTGGGGTTGACCTTTTCTATCCCCCTCTCTCCATAGTGGAGAGACAGCATAGCTGGCATGTTGGTCATCTGAGGGAAACACCCTGTTCCCCAACAGTACGACTTCGCCCACAGACCCCCAGCATAGTGTAAAAAACATTCTTACACCATGCCGGTAACTACTTTTAGTCTAATAGCTGTCCTAACAACCTTCCTGGCATGGCAGAAACTGCAGGAACAATAGTTCCAGCCAGTGTAGCTTGTTGGGTCATTGAAATATGCAAGCCCAAGCACTGCGTCAAGGTAGCAGCTATCGGTCGGATGTTATATGTTCAAAGTGATGTTTTTTTTCTAAAACACTACTCAAAACAAGTACAACAGAGAAATTAATTATTTTTAATTCAATTTCAATTTCCCCGTTGATTAAATGGACTAATATGTTCGGTTTCTGTTGACATGTCGGCTCCTTATGCGGATGTTTTGAACAATATCTGAGAATTAACTTAAAGTAACTTGGTGGATGGCGAATAGCAGTAGAATTCAACCAGGATACGCATTTCGTCCTACTTGGCACTAGTAGTCAGCTGGATGTACTTACATTCCCCAGGGAGTGAGTGATGATGTTCCCACTGAGACTGACACCCGTTGCACAAGAGGTGGATCTCATGGCCCAGCTGGTCCAGTGGGTTATGCTTTGACGTTTGAAATGGTAGGAACTGGGTTCGAACCTCAGTGGGAATACCATCGCTCACTGGGGAATGAACGTACATCCAGATGACGCGTCCTAAATAGGACGAAATGTGCGTCCTGGATTCCACTGCTAGGGTCATCATCACCTACAAAGTTACTATAACACAATAAATTTAAAATATCAAAATGATATACCTACCTTGACTTCTGTATTGAACTGATAGATCTCTTAAGATTGTATTTTGAAATGGAGGTGAAATACTGTTCAGTAATTTGTGAACTTGTTTTAAGGAGGTAAATAAATTTTTCTCAGATAAAAGGTAATGGACTTTATTATGCTTGAGCATTAAATTTAAGGAAAAGATAGCAGGCTCCACTTTTCTAACAGCATTCAAGTATGAAGAGTGATCAGTAGTAGACTTCATGATAGGTATTAGTCTTGTGACTATATGACAAAAATCTTGCGCAATCTGTTTGTAGACAAGCGGTTGCCTTACTAGCTCATCAACAAATTTTACAGCCATATGACGATGTCTTTTCATTTTAGCTAAAAACTTCTAAAAATTGTTTAATTATAACAAATGAAAAGAATAAGGAGTGGAACCTACTTCTGAATTGATGTGTAAACTGTGTTTCATAATAACCATGTTATACGACGTCTACGAAAGAAAAAAAAGGTGAAGGAATAAACTCAAAAGAGTTATCAAATGACTTTTTGTAGTGTAAAAACTTAGACTGGTTAACAGTACAATCTAGGTATTAGATAATAACTGTTGCAATTATTTTCAGTTATCAGCACTAGTTGAAGCCATTAAGAGTGAAAGACATAAAAAGATTAGCCGTCTTTGATCATAGGTGCCTGCGTTCTATCTCCCGTGTGAAGTGGTATAAAAAGGTGAGCAACATTGAGGTTAGGCGTCGAGTGCTAGGTAAGCCGGGGAAATCAATCGACATGGCTGTGAAGCTACATCGACTGAGATGGTTAGGACATGTGTTACGTATGCCTAGTCATCGCCTTCCTCGACAACGGGCAATGTTAGCTGATATAGGGTCAGGCTGGAAAAGAGCTAGCGGCGGTCAAACTAAAACATGGCACCAGTCAATGAAATCCACAACAGTTAGTTTAAGTCACGTAGGAAGGTGTAGACTTCCTGGTTGGCGTCCTCAGGACGGTGAAAACCAATGGTTGGAAACAATTGGTGAAATGGCTTAAAATCGTTTTCAATGGATGGTACAGATGCATCCACTCCTTGTGACTCATGATTTCCAATGAAACTATATTGTTCTTCGTTATTACTATTCCCTTGTCTCACACCTCTGTTTACTGTCTATATTATTATGCATTTCTTCTCTTGCTTTGTGTGCTACATGGAGTGTGGCGACTTGAACTGCCGCACATCGGTGCAAAGTTCTATGTCAAATACAGACAGACAGACAGACTAGTTGAAGCTAAACAATCATTGGGTGTATAGTCCACATTTAGGATTAAGCCATTTGACACCAGTGTGTTATGCTTTAGGTCTACAGCCAACCATCAAAGATGATCATATGCCGTTTGTGGATAATACAATAGTCACTTGCATTAATTTGTTGGAATATTTGTAAAACACTGATGCGAAGGAGTTACAAAAAGTAAAGCACTATTAGGATTGTGGGACGAAATTTATCGGGAATCATGTGCAAGCAGAACTTGCACAACACCGAATTTAGACTATTGTCTCCTTAGCGGGTGAGGACGGTAGCAAACTACAGAGCCTTCTAAACACTTTGAACCGAAATCTAAGTATATTTGACATGAGATTCGTCCCCGTCACAGGTAAGATGATGATGTAGAACTGGTCTGCAATGGCTCCTAGTTTAAGAAAAAGGAGTGAAATGATTGATCTTAGGAAACCACATCAGTCCTATTAAACATTGTCTCTGATAATATATTACGCCAACAAACCGTCGCCTTCAATGTCCGGCAATGTTGACTGACATAGTAATGGATTAGAAGGAAGTTAAGGTGGTCAAATCAAGAATTGGCACTAATCCACGAAGTTATACTGACAGTTTGAGCCAAATAGGGAGGTTTAGACTGCCTGGTGGAGGTTCTTGAGTCGCTAAGAACTAACTGGTGGAGACTGTTACTGTAAAGACTCGAAATAGTTCTGTATGGCTCAAATGCCTTCACTCTGTGATTTCCCCAATCAATTAAACCCTCACCATTCCTTTACGTAATTATTCTTTCTCCGTCACATTTCTATTAGTCATAGTTTATTTTCTTCTTCTCCTCTACCTCTAAGCATATTTTATGGAGTGTATTACTTTTGTGCAAGGTGCTATGTCCGAAATTCGGTTGGGCCTTGGTCTCTGCAATCACCAAGTATTATTTTTTTTTTACTTCCAGGTGTTTCAAGAGAAATCAACCTCCACAGTGTAGCCATCGCCTGTTAATTCCCACAGAAACAAAAAATTTGTCGCTTACGGACTCTCTACCTTCTTGCCTTTCTCTCGCTACTAATAGACGTAGTCGCTTCTCTCAACTCTGTGACTGCTTTTGCTGACTTGAAGTGGAGAAAAATCGTTCGTTATCTCTCAAGAAAATACTGACTACATCATTTAGGTACTCTCAAACTCCTGGATTTTAACCCAAATCTGACAGCAGGTCGCATTAGACAAACTTCTGACATGTTGAGCTTCAGGTGTATTTTGTATCTCCAAGACACATATTCAAGACCCGTATACAATCCCACTAAATCTAACCTGGAAATCAAGTTTAACCTATAAGATTAATCTTAAGGGTGGCAGATGATTTTCTAGCTAGTTCTTGTAGACTCACTGGTGTGGAAATAGCACTGATCTCTGAATCAGAGTAGTCAGTTTATATCGGATCCCAGCTGAATGAAAACCTAATAACGAGATATGATGATGGCATTCGTCAATGCTCATCGGTAATCTCCTCTTGAGCCCTAAATGACAACGATATGGAAGTAAGACAGAATATACATTCTACCTAGTTTGCTGCAACTAAAAACCACTAGGATTAATTCAACGAAAGAAACAGGTCAACCTCTTAGCTATACAGTCGATGGAAATCGGTGGAAGACTGGGTTTTCTCTTGGAACAAATGGTCAACACTTGTTGAGGACCAATTATTATCAATCCTAACGTTATGATTTGGATAAGGTACGTTCAGAACTGGTACACAAACAAATCAAACAATTTGGAGGGCAATTAGAAAAAAACGTTACACCTAGAGCGGGTGTTTATATATATATATATATATATATATATATGCATTAATACAGAGCTTTCTACTGCACTGTTGTCTCAGAATGATTCTCATACATTATAGATTCGTATATGACGGTATGTTGCGGTAGTATATGATTTCGCACACTTAATAGCCTAAAAATTTACTACTCAACAATGGGTGTTGACTTTCAATGCTGAAGTTGGATCGTTTACCTGTAGGTACGTAGTCAAAACTCATTATTCTGAAAAGCTGTCGAGTTACGTCTAATTGTTCAGGTATGACTTCCCAAATTAAAAGAATTGCGGAAAATGTCAATTATATTTAGGGGAGATTTCGGGCCAAATTTAGGGTTTAAAAGTTCTCCAGGGGAGAACGTTACATTATTGATAAAAGGATAAAACTTGGGCAGTGTGGTACAGTATAACTCCAATATGAATAAATTTTATTTTGATAAAATCAGTGTTATGCAGTAATATTTACTGATGACGTTTTGAGCACAAATTATTGCTCATAATCATGTCAAGGTACTCATAACTTTATTGCTTCACAGCAGCGACACGATCTTAACAAACAGCATACTACAGCCAAATATAACAAATTCCAGAAACACTTAATCTCACCAAAATCTCCCCCAATTTTGTGTTCCTGGCTGGCTAAATAAGCATCCCGGCTCAAAAGTACTTATACTGTAATATATTATACAATATTAATGACCTAACTCGCATTCTAATCTGCAGACGACGCCATGTTCTGACGCAGAATAAGTAAATTAAGGGTTAAATGAAGAAAAATACGTGTACCGTTGTCACAGTCGGATGAAAATGGGCGAAGATTGGTTAAATGGTTGTTAAAATTGGCAGACATTAGGCAAATGATTAGAATTGTGATATAATAGGAAAATCCTGGTTTGGTGGTCAAAATGTTGCTTATGTTATACCCAAATAGAAAGTTCCGGGGTACTTAGAGTTTTTGAGGTATTTTGGGGCGACCATAAGAATTTTCGGGTTCGTTAGTAATTTAGGCCCTTCCGGGAAAAATGTTGCATTTCTTTAAAACTTAATTGATAAAGAAATTCCTTTATTGCACTGCTCCTAAGTTCCCCCAGAAAACCGGAAAATTGGCAATTTTTTTAAAGTATAACATATATTAATTATATTTTGGTTGAATATTAGTTAGGTGATGGTCGGAATAGTAAAGTGTTGATTGTATTTTAGTCAAATTGCAAAATTTATGCCACACAACCAAATTTCGTTCATTCTCTGTAAGTGACCATGCCCATTATTTACTCTCTTTTTTGACTACGGTAATATCGTATCCACCATCTTTATTGAAGACATCTACCGCAAGACTTCAACAACTATGAAAGTACGTCGAACCCACCTGTTAGACTCTGTCAACCTCGTTATGACCTTGAAACTGAAGAAGCGCGGTGAAATCTTTCGATTTTCAGCTCAACATCCAATATCATTTTTATGACAATGTAAACCAAATAGATGCAAAAGCCCACCTTTAGAATGTTCTCACGCTGTGATAGCATTCAGCCAGCTATCCAGAAACAGTGAGCTAAAGCTCCTGGCAGGTAATTACGTGACCTGTTCCAACATTCAATAGACTTAGTGAAATTGCCGAAGAGATCTGGCAAATATCCTAAGAACCGGTATGACGTCAATTACGTCGGTTTTTTCCCCTTCTTATTTAAAGTCCCGGTCCTTAAAGAGCATGGCGTAATGGTGCCCTTCTTAAGGATAGATTTGACTGTAATATTACCAGCTATTATTAATAATTAATTTATAGCAATAAAAGAAGTAGCGACAGTTTTAACCCTACAGAATAAGAACAAAAGACTAATAGGTTAGCACATGAAGATTTGGTAATAGTTCAAGACAGCTGGACTTACTACACTGGGACTCGATGGAAGTAATGGTTGATGATCCAGATAATTCACATAATGAATATTTTCCGGTTAGGGCGGAGAATGCACCTCGTATTGAAGCCACAGTTGCCAAACTTTCGATGAGTGCAAGTTGAAGACCTCAAGTACTCCGTCTAGGAGACAGACTCTCTCAAACGTCTTTTGTCAAGAATTTTTAACCGTTAGTTTTCTTTGAGGATGGATCATACGAAGACGTCACATTTTTCAAGATTATTTTGCAAGGTATGAAAAAAGCAAGCGCAACAGATTTTATGTCCACTGGATGATACAAATCCGCTAGGAACAAGAATGGGCGAAAATGCAATCTGAAATTTTCTCTTAATCTAGTGACTTTATTTCTATGTAGTCTACGGCAAAAAAATAGAATGTATTTGGAACATTGCATAACTTTTAAGCTAACTAATCCATAAGAAACATCTTACGTGACACTATTCTGACTAATTTAGGATGACTATTTTGTTCTATTATTCACTTTTACAAATTGCATCTACTAAAGAAATGTATGGAACAAAAAGAAAAGAATGGAGAATTCTCACATAACCCATGGTGTCCTTTAACCCTAGACTGCCGTCCGAAATAAATTCAATTAGTGAATCCAGCATCATTTCGTCTGTTTCACCTTCAACATTCAGTGTGCCTGTCTGTACAGATGGAGATTAATAAACGCAGATTGTAGTCATTTGTATTTTAACGAGAGTGCGGTTGTGGCGTTGTGATGCCACTTTGTCTTCATGGGTTCTCAATGATATCATTAAACATATATAACCTTGAACAAACGTAAGGATTATGTTCACATTTCATAAGTTGGCAGTGGTGCTGAGAGAGTATTGGCTGACAGGTTAAAGTGGACATGGCTGAGTAACTACCTTGGCGGTTGGCCACATAGCCAGTGCAGAAGGATAGATGGCTACACAGCAGTAATGTGAGTTGTTTCTAGTTTAGACCAATAAGAAAGCGAGCTTAGAGACGTTCATGTGGTATAACTTACTGCCCTGCTAGACTGCCACTTGGTGGAAAGTGAGGTCTGTATCTCGTGATCTGATGCAACTTAGTAATAATAATAGCCTTGTTCCAAACAGTACTTTTGGCAAAAACACGGAATTTTCGGTAAGGTGGACGAAAAAACTAGGTGAGTTAAGTTCATAGTTGTATTCTTCTTTATATACTTCAAACAATGGAACTAACGCACCCAGTGTTTACTAATATGCCTCCGGCCGATTCGATCACCGCCTACCGGATATCTAACCGCTCCTATATTTTCAAAGATTGGTCAATAAATATGCAAATGGCCTTCGAACACCGTTAATATCCAGACTTTAACTTTTTGATGTGGAAGACTATTGAATTGGCATATATATATATATATTTCAAAGTCTGTTTTACCAAATATTAACGAGCGAAATTGTCAAGTGACATGAGTAGCTTCATAATACGTTATGTTGTTGAGAATAACTTCTAATGCTTGGAATTTGTTTAGTCTTAATAAACCATGAAATTCCAAAATTCTGGATGTGAAACTGAAGAGCGGACTCTTAGAGGATGAGGGTATGTTCCCATTCATGTATAGTACGACGTATTCTAGCGCCCACAACTCCTATAATGTTTGTGTTATTCAGACTAAGGCGAATCAAAACATCAAACTGATCGTTAAAGATGCGAAATACATTTCGGGATCAAGATCACAGTGTGTGTACAACTGCTGGACGAGAGACTTTACTGCATATCCTAGCTAATTGTATCATGGTCATCAGTCGCTATGATGGTTTAATCACAAATCACATTTTTGTATGGTTTTTAAATGATTTTTCGCGCGAAGTTTTTTCTGGTGTACATACTGTCAGTGGCGTCATATTCCTGTAATGAATGATATTTGCTACACTTTGATCGGAAAATCTTGCTTGATATCCATATCTGCGCCATGGAATGGATTAAAGTAGGCAAAACTTCAGAAGTTAAACGTAAAGTTTTGGATTTTCATGAAATCCTACCAGTATATTTTGGCGTATTTACTGAAACGCCCAAGTACCCATCTGATAAAGGTGGCGCCAATATATAGTAGGGATTTGCCATATAATCTCCCTTGGTTGTCGTGTACGAACGAAAGACCGTAACACAATGGTGCACCGAACGGCGTGGACTACTGGCCGCGAGCATTCAGCTAAACGAATCCACTTGAACAATCAAGGTCGGCATGGAACGTTGACTGATGGATGCCATATGCTAACAAATTTGTGGGGATATCTGTCTACAGATTGTAAAGGTGGTAAACCTTTCATGCGTAGGATTTCACAGATGCTAGGGAGAAGGGTTGAATAATTCAGAGTATGAAGCTGTAGCAGTAGGTGATTCCCCAGAGCTATTAGCAACAGCATTCATCACTGAATATTGGATATTGTCCCTCATTGTTTAAGTCGATTTTTTAGTTGAAGGCTTACGGTCGAGTATTCACGCCATTACGCGCGCCATCGTGTCACGTTCGTGAATGATGCCCAGCTAGTTAAGCAACCGTCTCGTACTCCGATGGGGTCCAGGAATACACGTCGTAATTTGGACAATGGATTCTGGTGTTTTGCTTTGTGCGCCAATGACAGCGGTTAGGACTCTTGCCGACCATGCACATGGTCCGGGGTTCTATCCCCTGGCGACACACACCTGATATCAATGGTCAGCCTGCAAAATTTGGGCTACCTATGTCAGATGCTGAAAATTCCATCCATGTACCAAAAATACTGTGTGGTTTCAAGCTATAATCAAAAAATATGCGGAATGAATACTGTAGAAGTTGTGGGTATTAAATCTTGCGTAAGTATACTTTATACTATCCGTGGACGTCAACATACTTAGCATCTAAACTGGTGAGCCCTACAGCGAACTTCATCTTTGGAAATCAAGCATAAAAATCCGGCAAGTTTGTTCCATAATGTATTTGTTCTTGTACTATTTTTAAAAGGTCATCCGTATGCGACCTACTAGCAACACTGTTCAGCTCATGCCATTTTGGCTAGACAGTTGCAGGGAGCCAAGTCTGATTTCAGCGGGCATGGGATTACTGACCAACGTTCACAGTTTCTCGCAGTTGTCCACGCCTTACCTCGAGAATTAAGCAAATAGATAATTGTGCATATGTAAATCCCAGAGGTAAGTAACTCGTATGAGTTGCTTGAAACAACTCTCTTAAAGGGAAACAACCTCACGGATCGACTGAGTCTTGACGGACTATTTCGCAACGTGGGGTTATGTGATCAGTTGGCTGTGAACATGCTAACGAGAATGCGAGAAATTGCCGGCCAACGTCAGTTCTACGAGGGACTCTTCAGGGAGATGTTCTCATCTAAATTGCCACAGTCAGTACGGGCTGTGCTTGTGGCACTTCAAGGTTATTATGGACGAATTATCTACTTCCACCAATAAAATTCTATGAACAACGCAATGTCCAGTTACTGAAATGTACCCAATTGCTTAACAGACTTCGAGTAGGGACATTGCAGTGACGGGGTTATGCAACTTCATACAGCAGCTTCGTAGGTCAAATAGTCCCAGTAACTCCTCCTATCGTCGACCGAATTTCCCCCAACAGTGAAACTCACGTGTCGAGTCAAAATTCAAGCCGAGTTTACTTAAAATCCCTGAGTGGTGTTAGTATCACAATACCTACGTGCGGGAAGCGAAATGTTGCCAAAATCCTTGTAATTTTGGCAAGGACTCGAAAGCTGTGGGAAACTATACCTCTAGCATGCGTTAGCGCCAAACACCGCTGGTGGCAGTAGCCGCCTACCATACATCCGTGATGTAGTCAACCAGACTCGGTACTTGGTTGGCACAGGTGCTGAAGTCAGCGTCATTCCTGCTACAGCGGCAAACTGACAGAAGAAACCTACATCCAGCTTACAGGCCACAAATGGAAAACCAATTGCAACCTTTGGTAAGAAATACATCTATCTGAACGTAGGCTTACGCAAACCTATTAAAAGGATTTTCCTTCTTGCTGACATCAAAATGCCCATCATTGGCACAGACCTACTTAATCATCATGATTTACTCGCGGACGTTCGCCGGAAACAACTGATAGACGGTGCTACTAGACTGTGTATCAAAGGCATCACCTGCGTATGCCCCAACTTGCCACTCGATAAGATGAAGGCAATCCTTGATCCAACTGTCCAACCGATTGTTGATAAATATCCGGAACCTAACCACCATCTAACGATCCTTCGTGCATAACCAGCGATGTTATGCATCACATCATAACCTCGGGACAACCTGTAACATCCAAAGCATGACAACTTGCTCCTGATAAAGTGCGATTCGCTAAAAAATGAGTTCAACCATATGCTTACCTTCGGTATCATTCGGCCATCGAATTGTTCATTAGCATTTCCACTGCTTATGGTACCGAAAAAAGATAGCAACGATTGGCCACCAATTGGTGATTACTGGCGAGTGAACGCCAAAACAACCCCTGATTGCTATCCATCGCCCCACATACATGAATTGACGGCTACATTATCTGGCGCAACTTTATTCCCGAAAATAGACTTGGTAGCATTTTTCATAACGAAGGAGAGCATAGGTCATATGGTCCATGCAGAAATGGCTCTGTTCAAACACCTCAATCCAGAAACTAAGAATTCTCTCTTCTCATCAACTATCTGAATGAACTACTCTATTGATACTCCCTTAACATTCTATTTAAATTCAAAGAAATACTCTACATGGCCATTGAATATCTTCTTGACCAACTGTTAGCTGACTGTTTCACCTCTAATCAGGAAATGATATCCTCGATCATTTCCTCAGCCGATTTTTTCTTTAGAAACGAGATTTAAGTGACATTTTTTATGGTTTGTGATGAACAATTCGAAATAGACCGCGTAGTCAACACTTTTAAGGGGTCATACTTTTCAGTCGAATTCATTTGGGAACGAGAATAAGACCTACTGAATGACTTTCTGAATGTTCTACTTATTAGAGGGCACAAAAACTACTCAGAGTTCAGTGTACAGTAAACGGATGTGGAGTAGAGAGTTTATTATATTCTAGAGTTAGTCAGGAAAAAAACGTGGTACGTTCGTTACACTCTACGATTCAGAAAATCTACTCGGCAGATGTAATAAAGACAGAAATGGAACCGTTGCCTTATTAGAAAATCGATATCCACCTAGAATTATTGAAGAAAAGATGTGGGAAAAATCTCTAGATTAACTAATTCATATGAGATGAAAGATAAACTAAATGACATTCAACTAGAAAGTGGTGGAACAATGGTTAGTTTTTATATAATTAGTCTTTATACTAATACACCAATCAATATGGCCTTAGAAGCAGTTAAAAAAGAACTAACTGCAGGTCATGAACTCACTCACAGGACAAAGCTGCCCACTGAAGAAATTATTCTAGGAATTCAGTTATGCCTCACATCTACTATCTTTAAATTCCAAGGCAAAATATACAGACAAACAGAAGGTGTAGGAATGGCATGGATCACCAATATCCCCTATCGTAGCAGGTACCTTTATGGACAGATGGGAAAATATGGCACTTAATACATTTAATCCTACTCCAAAAATATGGTAGAGATGTGTGGATGACACTTTCACAGTGTTAAAAACAGAACATATCTCTAGCTTCTTGACACATATAAACTCACTAGTAGAGGGAATAAAATTCACATTTGAAGCCGAAAATGAGCAAGGAGAATTAACTATGTTAGATTGTAAAATAAAACGAATAGAAGAAGACAAACTACACACTAGTGTTTATAAAAAACCAACGCATTCTAATAGATATTTAGACTTAAATTCGTCTTATCCGTTAACTGTTAAGGCAGGCTTAGTTAAGTGTCTAACAAACCGAGCAATGGCACTAAGTAGCACAAAAAAGACCTAAATGATGAAATAAAACAGATAGAAGAGGCGTTGGTGTTAAATAACAACTATCCTCTAAAATTCATTAGTAAGATTGAAAAAGGCCAAAGGAAAAATAAAAAGAATTGTGAAACTAGTAATAATAACATAAATAAGAGAGAATATAAGTCATCCACTGTTATACTATATAAAGAGGGAACATCTGAGACCCTACGTAGGATTCTTAATAAAGCAGGAGTTAGGGTGGCATTTAAACCTACAAACTCACTCAGGGACAAACTCTGTAGGCTAAGAGACCCTGTTGACCCAATTAGACAAAATAATATAATTTACAAAATACCCTGAAATGACTGTGAGGTCAACTACATAGACCAAACTAGTAGATCGGGGGTGGTGAGATTGTCAGAACATAAGAATTTAGCTAAGTTAAGAATGGTTGACCCCGAAAAGATAAGTAATTTAGAAAAAAAGCTCAGCAATTCCACTGCATGCATTTACACAAAACCACAACGCATTAGGGTGGGAGAGGGTTAAGATTCTAAGAAGTAATCTATGTAGGTGGAGAGAGAGGTTGATTGCTGAATCTTGGTTCATTGAATCTACACCCAACACATGCAACAGAAATTACTCAGTGCAAATACCAGAAATATGGAAGATATTACCGCCAGTCAAATCAGAAAAGGATAATAAATAATCTTAAGATTCTATTTCAATTCAAGCACATCACAACATTCTAACAAGTAACTTATTATGACTATAAAAACACTCGTCTTATTTCCTATCTGATAGTAATTGATCAATAGCACTCATATTATTAATTCTGAATGTAGATCATCTCATATTGATTTTTATTCCAATATCTAGACGATTCCATACATGTATATAAATGAAGATAAAAAGTTATGTAAGTGAGTACCTTGCTATGATTATGAGCAATAGTTTGTGCTTGAAACGTTATCAGTTAATATTACTGTATAACACCACTGTGTGATTTATCAAAATAAAATCTTTTCCATAATGGAGTGAATACACATTCATTCGGTACATAGAAGTGGGCTTTCCCGTCATGTATCTTCAGTGAGTCGACATCAGATCACACGTATCTTGATAACAAATAGCGTAGTTCGACTACCGCTTACAATTAGATCAGAGTACTAACGATTACCACACACACACACACACACTCTATGCTCATTTTAAATCATGTTCATAAAAATGATAAATGAATTAGTGTAAGCAAAGCTAGATTCAATTGTCAATTAGAACTAAAAGCGATCATTATATTGTATATTTAATCTGTTTATCAAAGAATATATATGTAAATAATTAAAAATATGAGTAAAAATATAGTATAAGGAAATAATGTCACAGCCATAGGTTCATTTTTTATTCTCTCACTTTGTATATTTTACGTAGTAAATGGAAATATTATCTAAAACAAAATAAAAATTAAAAAGTTAGGTGGAATTAACGCTACATAGACACTTGAAAAGTTCATGTACCCTAGGCTAAAATAACCGGAAAGATGAGTTTGAATTTTTCATTTTATTCTTAAAATGAAGATGGTTTATTCAAGTGATACATTCAATCGTTTTTATTTTAGAAGTCAATCAGTCTAAATCTTAAACTCATACAACTACAAAGATTCAATATTCAATAATTTTGTTTTAAAAAACTTACTCATCATTGAAGTAAGAATAAGTTGCGATCATTTGATTTCAGCCTATCACGTCTGCTACAGATAAACTGAAGAACACATACTGTATTCAATAAACATTTGATTTCTGTCATGTAAGAACTGATTTTATATGAAGAGACCAATGAAACTCAAAGATCACTATACAGTTAATTTATGGTAATTGAAATTATTTATTATTATTCCCTTGCGTTCTGAGTCGTAAATAGGGCCTCAACAACACATCTCCTCTTTGTCCTTTCTTCTGCCATCCTCTTCAGCTTGGACCACGATTGTCCGCAATCTCTCATTTCCTCTTCCCCCAACGATCTCCTCCACGTAACTCTCGCACCGATGATCCATTCGTCGCTTCCCATTCGGACTTTACTCGAGCGATGGCTTGCATTGCACACGATGTCATTCGTTGGCCTCTTTCTTCAAGTATTCCAAATTGGTCTCCATTTTCTCCCACATATTTGTTGAGCAATCAGCTCTTGGTTGGTTTGTTCCCAGGTGAAACTCTAACGGGAAACCATGACTTAGGCGTATTTCCGAGGGTAACATGGAGGAGATCGGGTGGTGTGGTGGAGATGAGAGACAGTGGGCAATCTTGAGGCCAGCTAAAGGGGACCGCAGTGCTAAGGACGAAGTAGAAATGTGCTGTTGAAGCCCTGTGTTCCACTCGAAACCCAAGGGAACAATAATCATAGGTTAAAGTCAGCTGATAGGATAAGCTGTGACAAATGTGTTATTAGCTGACACTTCTACATATGTTTATAAATGCGTCTGCCTCCTCATACTTGAGTGACTATTTGTAACCATAATCGAATGGAATTAATTTTAAATGTGACACAAAAATAGCAAAAATACTGGAGAAAATTTTTTTAAGCAAATCAACTCACTGAAATATTTGTTGAGAATGATGAAGCGATGAATATCTTTGTTCATCATACGTCTCCTTAATTTCTTGTGGACTCAAGGTGTGTGAAGTTTGCGATGCTACGGCGGCTTTCCCAACTTTTGTAAGTAATGGTTCCAGCAGATTTTTATTCTTAATAAACCCACTGTCATTTTCAGATGTTCCACGGAATTTTATTGAAACACCAGTAATAAAGCCGTTTGTAGTTTTTGCAGGTGATTCTTTTCCTGAACATTTCCCAACATCGTGAATCTAATTCGTGAATAAAAAAACAATTTAACAGGAAATGCGTTATACTCACTCAATGAATTTTTATGAAATTTTATGATGGTAGATGTAAAAATATTATGCTTCTTGGTGTTTTTCAAAACAAAACGGTTACAACCCTTTTATCTGTTCTTTCACACAATTCTTTATTGTCATAGTAATATCTATTAAGATTACTATCATTATTGTTGCCTTTAATTCCTAGAGGAACATAGGGCTTCAGCCGTGCGTCTCCATTGCGTTCGGTTCTCTGCTAGAGTTTTCACCTGGCTCCAAGTCTGCCCACACGTTTTCATCTCCTCTTCACATGACCTCATCCAAGTCACCCACCCTTGCACTGACGACCAACTCGCCACCGCTTCCCTTTCAGGTTCCACTCGAGCAATGGCTTGTCTAGTGATGTCACTTGATGGTTTCCTCAGAGTATGGCCAGCCAATCCATCTCCATTTCTTCCTGCCTATCTGTTTCACAATCGGTTCCTGCCGGGTTGGTTCGCTCATTGCCAGAGATCTCTGTTGCTGATCTTTTCTGACCCGCCATCTGATCTTGAGTATTGAGCGAAGACAGCTGTTGATGAAGGTCTGTAGTTTGTTCGAAGTGCCCTTCGTGACGCGTCACCAAGTCTCTGCTCTCTATAGTAAGTAGCACTGACTTCACATTGGAGTTGAAAATCCGGATCTTATTTTTGATGCTGAGTGCTGTTGACCTCCACACAGACTTGAGAGTAGTGAAAGCTTGTCTTGCTTTACCGATTCTTGCTTTAATATCTATTAAGAAGTAGTATTTAATTATTTTCTCTGTTCAAACACTATGCTTGTGTCGTCGGTTTAGAAGTGGAATACTGGCCAACCAAGCATGTTGTCTAGGGGTTGGATCCCAGGCTAACGGACGGACTCCTTTAACCCGCTGAGGTCGGTTAATAAGAGGGAAGGTTGAACATGAGTCTAAAAAACCCAATTCCGTAAAAATTAAAACACCAATGCTGACAGAAACTTCAAGCCTCTAGCTTGAAGCCCAATGCTCCACTGGGAACGCAAAGGAATAAAATAATATAATAAGTAAACATTATGCTTAATTCCAGTTGGATAATTTATGTATAATTTTAAGTTAGTTCGACGTAGGTACGTCACTTAAATATACCACTACCAACTCTTTTACAGTGTGCCTCAAGGCTAAGCACGAAAACACAACAAAGATGAATTCAGCATTATTCTTAAACAAGCGAAAACTCATAATACACTAAGTTATATTTGTTAAAGTAAGATTATATTGAAAAAAACTATGTTGATGATACATTTGTAATATTTAAGAGAAATGATTTAGAATATACTCATAAATTAGTAAACAACATATTTGAAGACATCAAATTCACGAGAGAAGAAGAATTAGATAACAAAATCCCATTTTTAGATGTCCTAATCAGGAGAACCAACACAGGAGATTTAGCGACACAAGTATATAGAAAATCAACGCACACAGATCAAATACTCAACTATACTAGCAATAATCCAGTTACTCACAAACCAAAATGTGTGCAGACATTGTTTAAAAGAGTTCAAACGCATTGTAGCACTCCAAAGTTGAAAAGAATGGAAGAAAAGTACCTACAAACGGTCTTCAAAAAGAGTGGTTATCCACAAAATTTCATCAAAAAGTGTTTAAAGTCGAATCAAAACACTGACAAGAAACCACCATCAAAGACCACAAGAAAATTCATTCTACCATACATGAGGAATATTTCTGAAATAACAGCCAGAATACTGAAACCGTTAGATATAGATATAGCACACAAACCAGTAAAATCGCTCATTTCGATATTATACAAACCAAAAGATCCAACAGAAAAAAGGGATAAAATTAATACCATTTACAAAATAAACTGTATGAACCGTAACGAGCATTACATTGGCCAAAGTGGGCGTCCCCTTCGAATCAGAATCCAAGAACACAAATCAGCCGTGAAAAGACAGGTTATGTATTCTTTAGTATCAATGCATATAGACAATTATGGACATCAATTTGATTGGGATAATGTCGAAATCTTAGACAGAGGAAACACCAAAAGTGCAGTCGGGGAATTCCTAGAAGCCTGGGACTCAAACGAAAATGCAATTAACAAACACGTTAATCTAGACGGAATATACCAACTAATAAAAAGTAAATCATGTGACCAGAGAGTTTAAAATCCAAGTCAATAGAAAATGGTCAATACATATGTAAAGATGGTTACCGGGAGACGCAATTATATCACTCATGAAGAAATTTAAATCATTTCACTTTGTGCTAAATATTGCACTGAAGATGTTGTCCAGAATGACGACGAAAGCTCTGCAACCAAACCAGCTAGCTCAGAGAACACTATTAATTGCAAAAAACTATAAATATTCGTTGACTCTACTCTTGCGGTATTTTCTTCAAATTTTGTTTTACCAAAACAGCGATACATGCAATTTAACGTTTTTGTCAATCTCAGGTCCATTTAAATACCTGTAACTTGTCGTTAAGGTAAATTTGAGGTTCTGCTAATTATCCTATAGATTAATAGTTTTCATGTTTACTATTATTATTCCTTCGGGTTCCAAGTGGAACATAGGGCCTCAACAACACATCTCCACTTTCTTCTATTCTTTGCTGTCCTATTCAGCTGGCTGACCCCACGATTGCTTATAATCCCTCAACTCCTCCTCGCCACATGATCTCCTCCATGTCAACCTAGGACAATCCACTCGTTGATTCTTATTCGAATTCCACTCGAGCAATGGGTTGCACTGCGCACAGTGTCATTCATTGCCCCCCCCCCTCCTTCCTCAATGTATACCCGATCAATCCATCTCCATTTTCTCCTTCTTATTTGTTGAGCGATCTGCTCTTGGTTGGTTTGCTTCCAGCCTGAGTTTCTTGTTACTAATTCTTTCTGGCCGACTGGATATCTGATTTTCAATAGAGAACGGAAGCAGCTGTTGATGAAAGTCTGCAGTAGCCTGTTGGAAAGGCTTTTTGTGAAACGCTGATCACGTTTTTGACACATAAAGAAGAACTGACTGATTCCACATGTGTGTTGAATAGAATCCGAATCTTGTCCTTTATGCTGGCTGAGTGAAGCAGAAGATTTCCAAACTGGTTTCAGGTTGACAGAAGCGTATCTTGCCTTTCCGGCTGGCTGGCTGGCTGGCTTTGATATTTTCACTCGCTCAGCCTACCTGTGGTTGAAACGATGCTTTCTAGCCGAACAAGTGAAGGAGGTGACCTCTGTTAAATTTCTCCCGTTGATGGTGATTGGTAGCAGTTGTTGCTACTGTTAGTTGGTTATCTTCATCACCTCTGTCTTTTCTATGTTCACCTGGAGTCCTGTCTTCTCTGCTGCTTCAGCCATTTTGTTGCCTTTCGCCTGTATACTATGTGTCAGATTAATCCCTCTGATATATTAGTGTTCAAGGTGTTTATGGGAAACATTTACGGCTGGTTTACATATATCGACTTCTAATATGCATACTAAACATTTAAACAAATGTATCTATTCATCGAGAGTGGCATGTTCAATGCAACAATTGCTGTACTTTCAGCTACTGGAATTCTCGGTTGTTTAGTTTTATCTAATGATGCGTACGTATAGTTCTTAGATAAAAAGTTAGAACTCAGTTGCTGAGAAACATTTTTCAATGTATCGAAAGATAAACCCAACATCATCTGCGAAATAAGTTGTAACAACTGCGAAAAACATTACACTGGTCAAAGTGGACGTCCCCTTCGTCTTCGTATTCACGAACATAAGCTAGCCGTCAAAAGACACGGTATCCACTCCCTCATATCACTACATACAGACAACCACGGACATCTATTTGACTGGGACGACGTTCAAATATTAGACACAGGAAACACCAAGAATGCTAGCCAGAGAATTTTTAGTAGCCTGGTATTCCAATGAATCGTCAATCAATAGACAAATCGAGATAGACAAAATTTATCAACCGATAAGAAAGAAACCTCACACACACAAAGGGTCAAAGTTCAAGTCAGAGAAACAGTCAGTTCCTAGACGGTGTGAAAACACACAAAAACGACTAATTACGTCCAAAGTCACCAGGAGAGATGGTTAATAAACTCGTGGAGAAATCGAAAAGCTCACTTCAAACTGAAGGATGCGTTGAAGAAGTCGCATCGCTGAAGGCGATAAAAGCTTCGCAAATTAACTATCCAGCTCAGAGAACACAACCACACCAAAATCATCCACATGAGCTACAAATCTTCTTCTCCATCGTATCTAAATGTATCGGACAGAAGTAGCTAAGGCCCTGTTTATTAGGCTGATAAACCTCACCACTAAGAGAACATATTTCGCTTTTCTACATACTAATTTTTGAATAATAAGTATTCCTCTCCCCCCTACGTGGCTGTGGAGCGCTGACTCAGTAGTGAAATAAAATGTTGTCACTTTGGTATGACTATGAGCAATAAGCCTTACACAAAATGTCGTCAGGAATTCGATAATATCGTATTATAGTGTGCTGTATTGAATGCAGTTGTCCTGTTCTGAAATCACACTCTACTGAAATATCTGTACAGGATCAGTCTAAAGGCTCCTTGTCATACTGTTTCACTATTCGTATTCGGAGTGGAATATAGGCCTTCAGGTCTTTGAATTTTCAGTAGAAGTGGTGCTGCTTTTACGGACTTGTTATTGACTAGTGAATTAGGCAGTTTAAGTGGTGAGTCAGCTGGGATTCGAACCCAGAATACATGAATGGCTGACAGGCGTTGTACTACTGAACCACTGACTCACGTGATGTTCATGATCAGCAATATTATTTATCCTGTAGATGGTTAAGAAAGCTGGGGTGGAAGGTAGAGTTAAGTAGTTGCGACTTTTGTTTCAAGAGACATCCTCCATCAAGTCACTGCATCAGTATCTGTTTCCTATACGACTGATGGTGATTCCTCAATTGAAAGATGAAGTGCCTAGACTGGCGACTTCCAATTATATCTAACAGTTCAACTGCACTTGCGGTGCAGCGAGTTTTATCGGCCGTTGCTCTAGGAACTTCATTTTTCGTGCTTAGAAACACTTATCTGTGTGGCTAAATACAGGTTTAGGGAAAAATATCAGCTGTTTGATATTTGACTACCTGGTCCAAACCGGCCACAAAGCCAGCTGGCATTGAAGAATCATTCTCCATCATTTATCGGGTACCAAATTAGTCGCCAAAAGCATCCAGACACCGAGGATTCTGAACAGCAGAGATTGTTGTGAACCACCTAAAACACCCGGTGTTCTGTGTGTGCAGAAGAAACAGGTCCAAGTACTAATGCTACCCTGGCCTTCTGCTGAGCCTACAAATTCATGAATTCTGTATTATTGCTTTCCTAATTTGTCTGATATTCAATATGTAGTGTTGTAGAGAAGTAAAAACCGAGGAGGCCGTATTGTACATAGGTAAATTTGGTATACCATATTCTCAAACCATCATTTGCACATTATTTACCATATCCTTCATGAATTGGTCAAGTATCGTCACATTCGATAGCTTCTTGGATTCTGCATTATATGGCAACATTCTTCTCATGGTTCTCTTTTTTGATTGTTCTTTCCAGTTTGCAAAACATAATGTTACTTTTCTGAATTCGCTTTCTGATATACTACTTATATCGGATTATAAGTAGCACTCACCACAGTGTTATGCTGATGCGTATTACCATGCTTACACATGTTATTGAACTGTAATCTAATGATGTAATTATCGATTTGATGTTATTTAGACATTAATGTTGTTAATATCCTTAATTCTTTCATTATTATGGATACATAACTGTAGAACCTCGTGAAGAGGAAGTTATCGAAAAGAATATTCTTTATTCAGTAATCAGTCTTTTAAAATTTCCCTGACAAAATGTTGAACACAACAAATTTACACGAAATTTACATTTTAAATTCGTTTCCAGGGAACGACGAAGCTTAATTCAATAATCCAGCTGTTTATAATACGACAACATCCCGAATGTCACAAGTGCTTAACTTCACACCTTCAGTGTAACACATACACTAAAACATTTAAAAAGCACAGTAATCGGTGAATGTTGTATTTCTGTAGAGAACAGACTTTCAGCAGTTTCATCCAGGTATAAGTTAAGTATGACCGTTTCACACTATTCTTCTTATGCTACTGAAGTTTATTGAAAAGAAGAGTAGTTTGTACTTGTTTGGAAATGGGAGTCTACAAATCTAACTTATTGCAGACATTGCAGACACAAGCAAAATCATATTCAGGATAATGAAAGAGAACTTACTATTAGCTTCCATATACCAGTGACTTTTTCACCCCAATGAGCTGCAGAAGCAAAACTCATTGAACTTTCACCAGAATAAGTATCCAGTTTTCTATATCCCAACAGCATTGAAGTCGTTCCAGATGGACTAGTTAAATTGAATTCTAAACTTCCACGACATGAATGTTTCCATTTTACATCAATAACAACTTGTTCAACAATGTCTACATGACATGGAGTGTTTTCTGGAATATTCTGTGGCTGTGAGTACTTTGTTACACCATCATTATTGATTACATTCAATGCGATTACAGTTTTTGCTTGTGATTTAATTGCCCTATTCATAGAGAGAAGGTTACAGATTCTCGAAACAATAGACAAGTTTAAATGAATCGGGAAATCATATATATTTACTCACATTTTAATTTTTATCAAAGAAAACTTTCTAAGCAGTTACACACCGATGTTCACATACGGTGATAAGTTTTAATATTTCAATCGAAACTACTGTCTCTTGCCACTTGCACTGCCGGAATTTCTTCTCATTTTGAGTGCTCATGTGTGTTTCAATGGTAAGCAGAAAACCTAGTTTATCATGAGATGCAGTCCGCTGGTTTCAAGATGAACGAATCAATGATAGATTAATCAGTATACAAGCTTTAGTCAACAGTTATCCTTTAGTTGTCACTTTTTAACTGGGTATTTCGCAAACACAGTTTTCCCGATCGATTTGTTTGTATATTAAGTGAAATGTGAGGATGAGGAGGATAAGTGATTCAACTACTTCACATGGCATGGAGTAACAGATTCTGTTGAAATTAAACGAGATTTCGGCCGTAAAACCGCTTGAAATATCTGTAAACTCTTGTGTGATATGGGCTAATCAATAGTTAAATTTCATTGATGAGCTTAGATGATGAACGTTAGATATCAAATACGCCGCTCATAAAATTTATAGCATGAAGCTCGCTTTCATAGATAGTTAGAAATTTGCCGGCACGATATATATATATATATATATATATATATATATAAAGGTATATAGTTTATAGTGTCAAACATTCCTGTTAGCAAAAGGAATCGCAGTAACTTTTCACTTTGGATTTAGCGTAACGCTAACACCAGGTACTATTATTATTGTTTCCTTTAATTCCTAGAGGAACATGGGGCTTCAGTCGCACGTCTCCATTGCGTTCGGTTCTCTGCTAGAGTTTTCACCTGGCTCCAAGTCTGCCCACACGTTTTCATCTCCTCTTCACATGACCTCATCCAAGTCACCCACCCTTGCACTGACGACCAACTCGCCACCGCTTCCCTTTCAGGTTCCACTCGAGCAATGGCTTGTCTAGTGATGTCACTTGATGGTTTCCTCAGAGTATGACCAGCCAATCCATCTCCATTTCTTCCTGCCTATCTGTTTCACAATCGGTTCCTGCCGGGTTGGTTCGCTCATTGCCAGAGATCCCTGTTGCTGATGTTTTCTGGCCATCTGATCTTGAGTGGTATTGAGCGAAGACAACTGTTAATGAAGGTCTGTAGTTTGTTTGAGATGCTCTTTATGACTCGTAGTGCAAGTCTCTGGTCCATATAGTAGCACTGACTTCACATTGGAGTTGAAAATTCGGATCTTATTTCTGATGCTGAGTGCTGTTGACCTCCACACAGACTTGAGAGTAGTGAAAGCTTGTCTTACTTTTCCGATTCTTGCTTTGATATCCTCGTCAGTTCCATTTGCCTGTAGTTGAAACGATGCTTCCAGTTCGGTAGGTAAAGGAGGTTGTTTCTTTCAGGTTCCTCTCATTTATGCTGATTATTGTTTGTTGCTGTTGTTGCTGTCGTTGGTGTTGGCCAGGAATCTTCATCACCTCTGTTTTCTCTATGTTCACCTGGAGTCCTATCTCTGATGCTTCTTCTGCCAACTTGTTGCTTTTCTCTTGTATATCTTCCACTTTGTAGGAAATCAGACATATATCATCGGCGAATTCCAGATGCTCTAAGTCGTTTTTGTGTGAGTCCATTTTATGCCTGTTTCCTTATTGCCCACTGTTTGTCTCATTATCCAGTCTAGTGCAATCAGGAAAATCTTTGGCGATAGTAGGCAGCCTTTTCTTACTCCTTTCCTCACTTCGAAGGATTCCGTAAGTTTCCCTTTGTGGATTACTTGGCATGCAGCATTGTCGTACAACTGTTGGATGAGATGTATAATTGTCGGTGGCACCCCGTAGTAGCGAAGTAGTTGCCATGCATTAATAGTCTGAATAAGTGGCTAGCCAAAATAGTAACTGCTCAAACTGATTCATCCCTCTGAGATGAATAAGTCGTAGCAGATTTTCAGTGTGCTTTATCCTAAACAATGGAAACGACAGTGTATTATTTCTAATATCTTGAAATAACTAGCAACTATTGTCAGTTAGCAGTTGTGGTATACGACTACTAATATGAAGTCCTATTTAGGACACGTCATCTGGGTGTACCTGCATTCCGCAGTGAGTGATGATATTCCGATCGAAGACGAAATGAGCATCCTGGATTCCACTGCTAGTCACCATCCACCAATTAACTTCTGTTGACATGCCTGGACATCTTCGAAACATCTGCACAAGACATGTCAACTTGAGACCAAGCACTTCGGTCCAATCAGTCAACAGGAAAATCTAAAATTGCATTAAAAAAGACTACTAATATGATTTAGTTATATATGGCATGCAGTGTTGGATAACTGAGGTGAAGATGATTGTGACTCGACTTTGGCTTCAACTCTAACCATTGCAAAAGATGTTCCAGGAATAATATCCTGAACGTTTCCAACGTCCAAATGAATTTACTCATTTGAGCGAAAACACAAGCTATCTTGATATCCCTCATACACTGGACAGTGAATTATTTATACCACAAAGATGAATAATTGGTTGTCTATTATGAATGAAAATGAATGACGATGAACCATTCTGAAACAATTGGAAAATCAATTTTTTATAAGTGTATAGGTGTATTATTGATTTCCAAAATTGGGAACAATAAAGACTAGACATCAGAGTCAAACAACTCTCAGCCAGCCAATCAAATCACTGAGCAATACAAATGCAAGTTTCACTCTAAGCTTAACTATAACCCTACCTTAAACCTACCCTGACGACCAGAACTCTGAATCAGGATGAAACTTGCAAAGAAGATTATAAAAAGCCTCCATTTGTAATCACTAGAGATGTGACTGGTTGGCTCAAGGTCGTTTGACATTGGTGTCCCCGAAAATCATAGAGCCGCATGCTTTTAGGTTTAATGAAAAAATTCTCTAAGACTTTAGAGTATATTGACGTAAAATAAAAATTTTCGGTAACTTTCAGTTTTCAAGGACCTTTAAGATAAACTTTACCGGATTTTAACGTAGAACGTATTGAACTACTTACAGAACGTCTACTTAAGATGAAATCAGAGTTTTGAAAGAAACTGAAGCAGGAGTATCTGATATTCAGACCAGTCTTTTCAACAGAGGTCTGCAGCCCGAATTCAATTGAAGCATTATTAATTAATGTAAGTACAGAACCTAGGCACTATGGTGGTGTGGTGGTGTGATACAGTCAATGTGTTCCAATGGAATACTATTGTCACAGTAAGAACCACTGTATTTGTTGGTGTTAACGTCTGAATACTATTCCCACAGTTCAGTACTGCATTAGCAACAGAATTCTATGTGTATATTTGAACATTCTATTTCAAATCGTTTAATATAAATAAATAACACGCTTAGTGACTGGTTAAAGAATATGAACTATATATATATATATATATATATATATATATATATACATATATATATATATATATATCCATCTTCGCCTTGTTGTTTATTGCCATTTTCTATATCTCCCGTATAGGCGTTGAGTCATTCCGATTGCACGTGTGCGGTGTGGAATCGATAAACAGAGATCTGATGATTAATCTCTCTCGCTCTCTTCCTTCATTTAATTATGTCACTTTTTAATACTTTCATCCTGTGTGATTATATCGAATTAAATGCAGTGCAGTGGTTGAGATTTTCTCTAGGTTATTCAACTTAGCAGAGGCAATCATTCTAGATCTAGTTGAATTTTTATGTTCCGATAATCTAGTTGACCCCGATCTACTAGTTTGATCTATGTAAATGAATGGACTTCACAGTTATTACATTGTATTTGGTAAATGATACTAATTTAATTACTAATAGCCTTATGTGTTCAGTTATGTGCAACCTGCACTGTATTCAAATTTCAAAATAAACTATGTAAGCAAACGAATGGGATGGCGTTGGGTTCAGCAATATGTCTAATAATGGCAGACATATTTATGGGCATTTGGGAACATAAGGCTCTTAGAAAGTATAATCTTGCTCCTAGATTATAATGGAGAAGTGTGGATGACACATTCACTGTGTTGAAATCTAAACATATCTCTCAATTTCTCAGAGATATAAGCTCAATAGTAGTCGGAATCCAATTCACTTCTAAATACGAAAAGGTGAGTTGCTAATGCTAGATTGTAAAATAAAACGAAAACAAGATGGTGGTGGCTTAGATACTAGCATTTATAGAAAATCGACACACTTTAATTCATCTTATCCACAATCGGTAAAGATAAGTTTAGCTTAATGTCTTTGTAACCCGGTCAAGAGCCTAACTAGTAAGCCAGAAGATTGATATAAGGAAATCAAACAAATAAGGGAAGTATAACTGTAACGACAGAAGGCAAGAGTCAGGCAACAGATCATTTATTGAGGAAATCAACGCATATTTATATATTCTCATGTACATTACTATGGATATTTAAGCAAACAAACACAGTCTTCCGATTGGTTGTTTCTCACGTAAAGTTAATCTTTCATCTATTTGTGACTGTTTCTTGAATGTCAAATCCTCTATATGTTAACTGCATCCGCCTACGCAAAGTCTGCTGTGGTCGGTTTTGAATCAATCTTTGTTCACATTTTCTCACGACAAATCTTGGGAACGTAAATATTGACGTAAATTACTGTCTACCGATTTGGCTAGTAGACAGCTCTCACCACATAACTAGTGAATAACCACCCACCAGTAATTTTATTCAGAAATATATGAAGAAACCATAAAAAAACTAAGACTAGAAATAAAGGTGACGAAAATAACGAAAAATAATATAGAATTCAAAGCCTCTGTAGTACTGCCGTATAAAGAAGGAACTTCAGCAGTCTTGCGTAGGATTTTCAATGAGGCTGGAATTAAGGTGACATTTAAACCAACCAACTAACCGTCTCAGAGATAAACTTTGTCGGCTTAAGGAGCCAACAGATCCATAAAGAAAATTATTGTAATTTGCCAAATATCATGCAATGACTGTAAGTGAGGTCAATTACATAGGTAAGTCACACGAGTAGATCGGGGTCAACTAGATTAGTGGAACATAAAATCTCAACTAGACCTTGAATGATTCCCTCGGCTAAGTTGAATAACCTAGAGAAAAGCTCAACCACTGCACTGCATTTAATTGGATGTAATCACATAGGATGAAAGTACTAAAAAGTGATATAATTAAATGAATAGAGGGAGAGAGAGAGATGGAGAGAGGTTAATCATCGGATATCTGTTTATCGATTCTACATCGCACACGTACAATCGGAATGACTCAAGGCTTATATGAGAGATATGGGAAATGGCAATAAACAGCAAGTAGAACTTGAAGAAAGAGGGAGAGAGAGAGAGAAAGGGAGAAAATATATATCAGACAAATTGTGGAAACGTTTGACTAAAGTGATATGATTATGAGCAATACTTTGTGCTTGAAACGTCCAGACATCCAGTCGTTAATACAGCATCACTGTGTGATTATTAAAATAAACTCACGGAATATGGAAGTAGCACTAATAAGACTAGGAATACTAGGGAAAGTGTGCGACTGAATACTGGTGGTTAAGAAACAACACCGAAGAAGAAAGCTAAGAGTTTTTTGTTTCTACCAGATGAAGTTAACTAACCCATGGAATTAATAGCTCTGCCTTTTGTAGAGTTTAGACAAGCAGTATCTGTGATAATTACACCTTATACTAATTATTAAAATGAGTACGTTGGAAAATGCTCGCTCCTGCAGGATAGAAGTATTCTCACCTCAGAGACCTTAATCAATTGAAAGCATCCGAATTCCAGCTGGCTTTAATTGGGTTACCTAGTAAGCCATGGAATCGAACTCGTAATTTTTTGAAAAGCTATTCATTTCGAGGTGAGAAGTCATGACAGTTTCATGTGAAAATTAAAATTATTATTTTTAAGATCACAATGTCTACATTTCAGGTAAATTGCCATCCAGTTACTACTGATTCTTAAACTTTTACTGTGACTTCTGATTCAATGATTCTTGTTTCCTATTCTCAAAAAGCCCTAACTGTTGTATACAAGCTCTTATCACATATCCGAAATTCCTATACTTACTACTACTTAAATGCATGCTTATAAGTAGCAGAAATTAACTTAGTAGTATTGTAGCGACAGAAGACAAGCGCCAGGCAACAGATTGTTTCTTGAGAAAATCAGGAGACATCTTTATAGATTTTTATGTACATTATTGTCAGTGGAGAAGCAACGTCTTCTGATTGGTTGTTTTTTTGTGACCGTTTCTTAGAAAGTTAAGCCACATATATCTGCTAATCCTATTTGCACACGTTAAGTCTGCTGTGATTGGTTGATAATTTTCTCAAGGTTAAACTTTGTTATTGTTTTTATCATTACTCCGATTTGGGACGTGAACATTGACGTAAATTGCTGTCTACACTTTTGGCTTGTTCACAGCCAGCTCTCACCACAGTATTGCTGAAAATATTTTGAATAATTTGCAAAAAAAACTGTTATCGGTTAAACTTACCAACTTTTTTCATAGTGTGTTTGATATTCTTCGACAATCTTTGCTGCACAGCCTTCATCACACTGGAATAAATCTTTAGCATCTGATTTCTTGAAGCCTTGTGAACTTCCCCATTTCTCTGGCACGTTATATAAATAACTGTCATGAGTTAATATGCATAGTGGGCCAACTAAATTCCACTGCTGTGCTAATTTTACCATACGATAACAATCAAGTGTACCATAACCAAAGTAGGAATTATGCAGTATACCAGCACTGTTGACAGTCCAACCACTACTGGTTGGATTTGGAATACGACTACTCCATGGTAAAAGATGTGATATATCACGCCATGTTAATTTGGGACTGAAAAAGCGGAAATAGAGTAATATTTTAATGTTATTAATCTAACTGTTACTGATTACACAGGAGGAAGATATATTTACAAGATTAGAAGTCACGATATTTGTTTATGATTTTACATTGAACACTAGTAACTGGAATGTTGTGTGTGTAGTCCTTTGGTTTTAGTGCAGACTGAATTCTATCAGTCAAGTTTGCAATGTCGCCACTGTGCTAGCTGGTGGCTTGCCATCACGGTGCAATTGTGAATTGTTGGTATTAGGATGGTTCGAAGCAATCGTTAGGAAGCCCAGCCTTGGAGCTTGGTTTCGTGCTAGTTGGCACTCATCAGTCAGCAAGGCGTATCTGCAAGCACCTTGAAGGAACTCATGTCCCTTCTGAGACTCAAACCCACATCACGCATTGTTGCAGTCAGAGACGTTACCACTGAGCCGTTCGGGCTAGTGGTTGATGCGCTTCGCTGACGAGTGTTAACTAGCACGAAAGCTAAGTTCAGGTCTTCCTGGCGATCGCCTTCAACCATCTGAAGCCAACCAACTGTCCTCCTTTGTTAGATATTTGAATTTGACACAGATTTGAATAATTTAGTGTCATTTCTAATTACCTCATTAAAATGAACTCTTTCCCGCATTATTTTTAAGTACCTTTCACCTTATACATTCGAGGTTTTGGTGGGACAGCAATTTATATTAATAATATTCTATACTGTGCATTAGGAGAATCACGCTCATCTCTGTAATTCAAGGTAGTTATCCTAATAAAAGAAAATCAACTTAAGAATCACTGAAAATCATAAACCAGAAAAACAGTTTTTTCATGTTAGTCTAATAGTCTTTTTATAAGCTTTCTCCCCTTAAACTGTGTGGGATAGTAAGGTGAATAAATCTAAATATCATTAAACTTGGACGGAGGGATTGTTCGGCGTTCAGTGCATTCAATGTTTTTAAGGATTTGTTTGTGGGCATTTGATTTATTTATTTTTTCTTTTTTTGATTACAGCTTGATTCCACACCATATTTTTCGGTACAGGTATGGAATTTTCAGCATGTGATATCGGTAACCCAAAATTTTGCAGGCCGACCATATATTTCAGGTGTGCGTCGGCAGGGGATCGAACCGCGGACCATGTGCATGGTTGGCGAGTGTCCTAACCACTGCGCCACAGACGCACAGTGGTTAGAAGCTACACCTTAGTTTCTCAACCAGACCGAAACTGACACAGATAAATTACCCAAAAATGGCCACATCAAGGTGTGTATATAAATTCAACCGCTCACGTGGAGCTAGTTATATAGGTCGAACTCAGAGGAATATATCTTTACTCACTTGTGAACATGCTCCCATTCGCCTTAGAAAATGAGTAACCAAATTAATAATCGGTGCTATTTCATCTCTTTTAGTGGATTGTGAACGCTGCATCAAAATAGAGGAGTCATTTATGGTTGCGTATCGAGTACCAAGCAGTCTGCCTAAAGTCACACGAATGAGTCTCCTAGCTATGCCTGAATCTATAACGATTATTGAGAAGAAACCTGACCTATGTGTACAAAAAAGTACATTCATCCTCTTTGTTTACCCTGGCCTACTATAAGGTCAGCAGGGACATAATCATTTCGCAGTTTCATGTCATATTATATCTTTCTTATTCCTTCTCACCTAGTTTACTACACCGAGCTTATCATGTCTCCAGCATGTTATTACAGTGCACAATTTTACCTCTTTATTTCATCATCATCCGTCAGGCCTTGAACTTACATTCAGTGTGCCTCGTTTGTTTGTATGTATTTTGCGTTAATCGTATTTCTCTTAAACCACTGAATATAACTAACACTTATCCCCAATGAAACTTATGTTCCTGTTAACTATAAATTCATTAGTATGTCACTCAGGTGTCTATTCACATTTTATCTTCTTTTCTGAATGACTGTACATTTTATATGCATCCAGTTGACAATGTTAACTAATGGACTATTATTCCATCCTATACACGTTCTCCAATACCCCATATAAAACAGTCTTCATTTCCCTTGACTGGCTGTTTGCATTCTATTATTCACAGATTTATAACTGTAGAGTCTGAGGCTTAAGTTCTTGTTCTGATTACACTATGGTCATTTTTAATTTACTGAGACGTTTACTCAATGGGAAACGTATATAAAAACAAACTGATCGGGAGACGATGACCAAGGCAGCTATTTATTTCGGAGTAAACATTTGGAAATGCGCCATCGAGGAGTACACTACGGTTATACTACCAAATAATATGATATTTCTCCTGTTTTTTAGATCCTTTATTCCTTTTTATTCCTTTAGGTTCCTAGGGGAACATTGGGTTTCAAGCTAGAGGCTTGAAAATTCGGCAGCACTAGTGTTTTGTTTTACGGGATGGGGTTGCTAGCCTCATGCTCAACCTCTCCTCTTCACCAGTCTTAATACTGTTTTAGTGAGGTAAAGGTATGCGTCAGCCAGAGACCGAACCCCAGAAAACATACGTGGTCGGCGAACTTTCTACCTCTGTGCCACCGACGCCCTCTTATGTTTGTGGTACACTTTAGTTTGATATTAGATATCAAAGGTTAGACAAAAGGAAGTAATCCTCTTTAATGTGTTCCAACCGATGGCTACCACCACGACATCATTGTCCAGCTTGCATGTCGCTATGACCCGATGACTTACTTTGACTGGAATGAGGTAGTATGGATAGAAGTAAGACTAAAAGCAGTTACCACCATAGTGTAAAACGTTTACACTGTGTTGGGTGTCCAAGGATGAAGTCGCATTGTTGGTGCATAAGGATTCAGTAACAGTTAAGTGTTTCTTACAGATAAGCAGCATGCCAGTTATGCTGTCACTCTCCTCTAAGTAGGCGGCGGTGACCCCGTAGTTGTACATCCAGACTTATCCTGCAGTTGTCCGTAGCCTTCTATAAGGACTTAGTGTGGACACAACTTCAAAAACTATTCCAATCAGGCTGCGAGTGTGTGCCTTAGGCAGCTGAGATTCCCTGAGATTTTCGGTCACCTAATACTAATACTCCTTCTATTTCATTGTATTTTTAGCGGAAATCAACTTCCATTGTGTGAGCAGATCATGTGATGTACTTATACCATATTTTTATTCTCTCTGTCATTACATGAAGACAGTATTTTATTCAATAATGAATTTATTAGTCTTACTGTTCATTAAAAAAAAAAAATAAAGTTATTATGATCAGCCTATCTCATCTCCACACATGTTTAGTTTACAAACTTTTCTTCCACCTTTCTGAGTCCAGGGAATTCATTAAAATTGGGAACTCCTAGGTATAGAACTCATGCTATTTGCCTCAAATCATCCTCTTTTATGAAACTTTATTTACAACTTACTTCGCTTCAAGTGCCAGTGCTACGCATCCAGCGAAAATTGGTGCAGCTGCAGATGTTCCCAAAAACTGTGCCATACATTTACTGTTTTCCATTGTAGTCGGCTATATAGTTAAGTAGAAAAAAATCAATAAAATGAAAACGTTTAATCTTTTGTGTAGTTCTTGTAATGTATGAAAGGAGTTTTTAGTTTATGTTATGAATACTATAACGATATCGAAAGGCACAATGAATACAATTATTATTATTACTAAAGATGGAGAATATTTCATGATTGACGGGAAATCAAGTGTGAAATAAACAGTCATGTAGTGATTTCCATTCATCCAACTAATATCAGATCATATTGGATTATAAAATACAGATTTTTTAAAATATTTTTGGTGTGGTTAGACTCCTTTTGTCTGGGTGATTTCATTGTGCGTCGGAGGCACAGTAGTCAGAACTCTCGCCGACCATGCACATGGTCCGGTGGTTCGATCCCCGGCTGACGCACTCCTTTACCTCACTAAGCCAGAAATAATGCTGGCTCCCTGTAGACGCATACCTGATATCAATGGTTGGCCTGCAAAATTTGGGCTACCGATATAACATGCTGAAAATTCCATATTTGCACCGAAAATACGGTGTGGAATTAAGCTGTAATCAAAGAAAACTACCGTGATAGACAACATCTTAAATATGAAGTCACTTATTCTGGAATTCTTCGTGAATAATATAAATTTCTCTCCTGACGATCTTGGTTGTCTGTAGACGTTTTCTTGCCTATCTTCAAATTTGTATTTGTGTCAAACAATCAAGATCATTGAAGAATTCCAAAAACCTGACTTTGGCTGCAATTTAGCATTGAATGATGTCGCCTAGGTTGATAATGAAAGTTTTTTCTCAATTAAACCATCCATGCGAGAGCAAACATTATCACATCAAGATCACTCACCTGAGTGTTATAAATTTTGCTTATTAATTTACTGACGTCATTACGAATCTGACTTAAGCTAAGCGCTTGATAGATGCAACTTGATTTTCACCTAACTACGATTATAAGAACAAAAAGGCTCAGTTAGGAATCCCTTTCCGGCGAATTCATTGACTTACCTGTATAATCGCAATTATATACAATTATTTGTGTGTGTGTGTGTGCGTAAATTAGGTTTGTCAGACAAGAATAAGAATGTCCTCATGCCACCCATTGTTCTTCAACAACTCTAAAGATAAACTATCGCATTTGACCACTTCTATATGTATCTACCAATTTACTTGCTCATGTGAAGCAAGATATATAGGACGTTCACAATGTGTGTTTTTCTCTAAAAGAGTCAAAAAAATATTGTCAAACCGAAATGCCATAGTTGAACATATATCCAAAGTCATCTACAAAGTCAAAAGAAGCCTCCCAAAAGCAGTAAGCTTCCGCGTGCTATGCATTATCGAAGACATAGCAACTTTAACGGGAAAGCTCGGTTTATGTAAACGGCGGAAACTTATAGATCCTCTGTTTCTACCCTGGGTATAATTAAAAGTTTGACTGCTTTGTTGATAATGTTTTTTTTCAGTTTTCGTATGACTTTTTAGCAACATCCTTTTCTTAACCAACACTTTATTTATTCTTTTTACCTACCAATTAATTTATATCCAAGTATTGGCTTTCAGGGAGTTGATTCAGTTCATGAGCTGACATCGGTTAGGTAAGCTTCAGAAAACTTGGGAGTACTGTACAGTCGTTTCGCCCTAGTTTGAGACCCTACAGCAGTACGCAGCCGCAACAAGGGTTCCAACCTAGGACCTGCCGGCTACAAGGCTAGCGAGCTCGTAGATCGTTAAGCCACTGAGACACAATCCAGTGGCCAGCCTACGAATGCCAACTTCTGCCAATTCATGATATAGCGCGACCATTAGCCAATGTCTTCGGCGAGTATTTATCCTCATGTCCAACCTGCTGTAGCCTGCTGGTCATGACTTCTCATTCGAACCCAGGTAACTACCTACCAGAATAGGGTCAGTCACTTGTGAGCATCAGATCAATATTCAAATGTTGGCTTGCAGGGATTTGCTTGGTTTCAGGATTTACAAAGTGATGTGAGTTTCACCAGATAGACACACCAAATATCAGGCAAACTTTATATCAGCTGCGAGAAAGAAGAGACACAGACTACTAACTGGAAACAAGGTGTAAGTTCGAGACACTCTATAGTACAAGGAATATTCAAGATTATCTTAAAGGCCCTCAGAGAAGAAGACGGGGATATGCCAAAATCAAAGTTCAACATTCCGAAAGTAAAGGAAGAAGATATAAAGAATAATGTCATTACAGTCATTGGGAGAAAGTGAGAGATACTAAGGAATACCACTGAGGAAGAGCACTAGAACCCTGTGAAAGTGGCGTAGAAGGAAACCTGTCCTGACGCGTCAGGGTATAATAAAAGACAAGACAAGGAAACAGCTTTCTACGGACAACTGGAGGCTTATAATAGAAGAGAGATGAACATGTGCCCAGAGAACGCGGAGAACTACACAATATTACAAGGCTTACTTATGAGTGACCAGCCAGTGCGCCCGCCATTAAGGCTTATTTATAATTATTATTATTTTATTCCTTTGTGTCCCAAGTTCGAAATTTCACTAGCAGTGGTGTTTATCTCGTTACAGGGTGGGACTGTTAGCCTCACTCCTCCCCAACCTCCCCTCTTCAACAGACTTAACTTCAGCCGACCGAAGTTAAAGAGAGTGAGAGTTGGCTGAGACTACCGAGATTCGTATCAAATGCGTGATTAGCGAGCACTGAACCACCGACTCTCTGTAATGTTTTGTCAGAGCTATCTGAGACATTTCCATGAGTATGGTAACACACATATAGAAAACAACATGAAAGGTAGATTAACTGCCTACTTTTTGGGGACAGTGTAAAAAATAACTGTCAGGCTTTTGTAGAGCTAAACACTTTGTAGGGCAAGTTTTTATTATACACATGTAAAGTACATTAGGAAGTCCATTAGAGTACAATGTTTGGTAATTTAGACACACATATTGAAACAGATAATTGAAGAATACAATTATATATACAAATATTTACTAGAAACTCTGTATTGCCAAAGCCAAATGATCCCCCAATAGGAATTGATACGCGAACTGAAGCACACGCTTCTGAATATAGAGTGTGTCGACCAAATTTATCAGTAGCTGAAACAGCGATTACATCCGGTGAACTAACAAATCCATCCGCTCCACAGTTATCACCAAATAAACCACCGTTTCCAGAAGCGAAGACATAAATTGAACCCAACCCATTTCTACCCTAAAAACAATATGAATCAAAATAAATGTATTGCAGAAAAAAATTTGACGCTTATAAGTTACTAGTTCAGAGCTTTACCTATAGCTACAATGTAAGCGACTTACCTTCTGACTAGACCATCGTTTTTTTTAATGAAGTACTTGGGTGGTGGTTATACAGAGGTGTTGTGTAAACCAGTAGTGCTTAGTCGGTTGTTACGATCATGGTGAAATAAGTTTACAACAAATATCCGTTATCAAGTAATATATTTTATGGTTTACATACACGTATGCTGGGGTATCTGCCACTTCGAAGTATATCTAAGCGATTTCATTGTAGATGCCAGTAAACAAGAAATGCAAAAAGTGCTAAAAGGAATTGAGAAGAATTCAGTGAGAAACAGTCACGGAAATTATCATTATTGTTTGCATACCGTAAGACAAATTTTAAAGCTGGCGACTTTGCTAATATTCATGATAATTTGTACTAACAAACATTTATAATGTCAACAGTCTCTTTCTATTTTGTTATTCCTTTACGTTCCCAGTGGAACATACGGCTTCAAGTTTCATTTTTACGGGATGGGGTTGCTAGCCTCATGCCCAACCTTCCCTCTTTACCAGTCTTATTACTGTTTTGGCACGGTAAAGGAGTGCGTCTGTGACCGGGGATCGAACCCTGAACCACATACGTGGTTGGCTAGCATTCTACTGCTGTGTCACCGACGCACAACGGTCTTTTACACCAATATATATATATATATATATATCAATGTTTGGTTTGTAAAGTCTTTTGAAGAGGATGATAGATGATTCCATAGTAATTTGTTTATTAGATATACCACATAGTGAAACAGTATTATTTACTGGATGATGTTTCGATTTTTGCATTTCTGATCATCCCTCCTTAAGAGTTCGTTATCTGAATATTACTGAGGCCGTTGTGATCCACATTAAGAAACCTAATTTATGTATCCAAAAGAAGCTAGTTGAGAAATCGTCCTTATCCTGACCATCTAGGTTTGAGTCATCCTCAATTTTTGGTAATAATTTTCTTAATTTTATTTGATATTCACTTTGCTATTATATTTGCATCTGAACTGTAATTCCATTGATCTTACTTTACAGATCGATATTATTTAAAAAAACATTAATATTGTTATTGACTACTAATCTAGAATATTCTATGTATATAAACATATATATAATTGTAGAGCCAGAAGAAGAAATTATCAAAAAGGATATTCTTTGCTGAATTATTTTGTTTTTTATAGATGTCTGAATGAATATTTTCCTTACCTAAAAATAGGATTGATGCTCGCTAGTGACTTGCTACAGGTTGGAGCTTCCTGGAGTTCTAGTGAGAAGTCGTGACCAGTGAGGTCCAATTAGAAGTCACGTGTGTGGATGGATTTCCCACCAACGACAATAGTTGGGGTCGCGCTAAAATCACGAATTGGTAGAAGTTAGAATTCATGAGCCATTGAATCGGGTCCCAGTGGCTGAATGGAATACGAGCCAGCTTGCCTTGTAACCGGAAGGTCCTGGGTTCGAATCCCAGTGGGTGCGTACTGCCGATGATTCCCAAACAGCAGCTGTCCAGTACTCCCTGGTTTTCAATGGTTCTCTAACTGATATCAGTCCGTGATCAACTCGTAAAACATAACTAATCGTTACAAACCAAACTATAGAAAATTGATGAAATGTTTGTGTAATAAAGCACAAAAACTAATTAGTACCAAGGAAAATCTAAGAGATGAAGTGATGCATATAGGAAAAGTTTTGAAACTTAATAATTACCCTGATAAATTAATCAGGAAGTATGTTGGAAAATGTAAAATTAAAGTTAATAATAATGCTAGCAATAGTGATAATGATGGCTTGCATGTCAAACATGCACAGGGCAATGACGACACCAACAACATGGGATATAAATCATCAGTAGTACTTCCATACAAAGAAGGAAACTTGGAAACCTTACGGAGGATTAGTAACAATGCAGGAATAAAAGTGGCTGGCATTCAAACGCAAAAACTCAATTAGAAACAAGCTTTATCGGTTGAAGGATGAATCCTGTGGAGCGAGTTAAACAAAACAGTTTAGTTTATCTGATACCCTGCCGGAATGATTGTCAGGTCAAATACATAGGTCAAAGTAGTAGAACGGGGTCAGTCAGACTAGGGGAGCACATAAAGATAGAAAAATCTGGATTAGTTGACCCTAATAAGATAGGAAATCTAGCGAATAGTTCAGCCATACCACTCACTGCATTCAGTTACACACAACCATACAATAGCATGGGACAAGATAACAGTTTTAAAATCTAATGTAACAGCAGGGTGGAGGGGGGTACTGATAGTGGAAGCTTCGATTATCAAATTAACAAAAAGGACATGTAGTAAGAATGATTCAACACCTGTCCACCCGGACATCTGGAAAATTCTACTACTCCTTAGACGACAAATAGTTATGAATAAAGAAAACTATAAAAGCAAAGTTTCGAAGTCGTGTGATTATAACTGAAATGATTATGAACAATAAATTGTGTTCGAAACGTCATCCAGTAGACAGTAATACTGTTTCACTGTGTAATATATCTAATAAACAAATTAATATGGAATAACATACTACCACAGTGCCCGAGGTTTCATAATGAAGATGATAGACACTACAAGGTAATGAAATGTACAAGGTCTTTTATGTACTCTGTAACCCGTTCAACATGTGATCACAATGGATTCCCAGGTATGTAGAAGAAGAAGCTTCCCTGTCCAGTGTAAATGGTCTATCGTCTTGTACATTACCGAAAGCACTGGTTGGTTAGAGGACTGTGGATATAAACGATCGGGGAAGAAATGTTATCACACCGCACCGGAGACCAATTTAAAAAAATCTATGGAACACTTAGAATTTCATTTTAAAGGCTACAGTATGAATAAAAGTAAAAGCGCTTACGTCTATCTCTACAGGCAGTTGATGTTACTAAAATATTGGTTTAATATCTATCTATCCAACTAACTAACTAACTAACTAACTAACTAACTAACTAACTAACTAACTAACTAACTAACTAACTAACTAACTAACTAACTAACTAACTAACTAACTAACTAACTAACTAACTAACTAACTAACTAACTAACTAACTAACTAACTAACTAACTAACTAACTAACTAACTAACTAACTAACTAACTAACTAACTAACTAACTAACTAACTAACTAACTAACTAACTAACTAACTAACTAACTAACTAACTAACTAACTAACTAACTAACTAACTAACTAACTAACTAACTAACTAACTAACTAACTAACTAACTAACTAACTAACTAACTAACTAACTAACTAACTAACTAACTAACTAACTAACTAACTAACTAACTAACTAACTAACTAACTAACTAACTGACTAACGAAACACTCACTGAACAATAAACATCATGCGAATTCTTCAGGTTTGGTGATCACAACAAGATGTATACTGCCACCTAGCGTATCAAAAATAGAATCTCTCATATGTGCATATTCACATGTATCTATAAATTCAACTGTAAGAACATCTGTCATCATGACTAATGAATAGATAATTAAATTAAGTTAAACGTTCTCTCCAATTCAATCTAATAATTTTTAATCACATATTGGTTTGTAAGGATTTGACTGATCAGTTACAGAACTATTTGGAAATCTGAATAGTAGTTTCGTCCTAGTTTGAGACTCTTCATCAGCACGCACTCACAACCAGGGTTCAAACCCAGGACCTTGTAGCTACCAGGCGAACTTTTAGACCATTGAGCCACTAGGACCCTACCCGATGTAATGGCCTGTGAATTCCAGCTTCTGTCAATTCACGACACCGTGCGACCACTAGCCAGTGTGAGTACTGGTGGATAGTCCCAGGCTAGGATGAAAGAGCTATCCAGTACTCCCAGGTTTCCCAATGGTTCTCTTACAAATGTCAGCTCATGATAATATCCTGTAACCAATCAATCAAATCCTTATAAACTCATTCTAGAATATCAATAAGATGCTCACTAGAGACTAGCTCTATTCAGGTAGGTAGCAACCTGGCTTCTAGTAGGAAGTCATGACCATTAGGCTGCAGCAGGTCAGGCGTGAGGACAAATACACACCGAAGACATTGACTAGTGGTCGCGCTATGTCGTGATTTGGCAGAAGTTGGCTTTCGTAGGCTGGCTACTGGATTGTGTCTCAGTGGCTTAACGATCTACGAGCTCGCTAGCCTTGTAGCCGGAAGGTCCTAGGTTGGAACATTGGTTGTGGGTACGTACTTCTGAAGAGTCCGAAAATAGGACGAAACGACTGTCCAGTAGTCCCAGGTTTTCTGAAGGTTATCTATCCGACGTCAGCTCATGATGAAATCCTGTAATGAATTGTTATTCACATTGTCAATTTTGACAAATAGTTTTCCTTAGTTCTTAACATGTCCAACCGTTTTCTACAGGTAATGGAATTTCCTACCCTATAAGTTGTTTCCATTAAACAGGATATAAAAGGGGTTAAGCAACATTAAAACTGAAAAGAAATGGGCATGCATCATACATCGATGTCATTTTATTGTCTCCTGAGCTTATATCTGATTCATCGTCCGTTATTTCTGCATATCTGTTGGATTTATTAACGCCTTTTATCATACAGTTGTCAAGTTACCCTGGTAAGTATCCCAAAGAACGTACGGCTAAGTTCCTAAAGCAGTTGTCGACGTTTTTAGCCACAAAGAGGCAGCCGAGTTGATTGATGGAGACGTTGAAGAAAAAACCTCGCTGTCTAGCATAGATAGTTGCCTGTCTTGTAAAATACTGAAGATACTGGTTAGAAAGTCGTAACAAAAGACCAGGAAAAAATGTTGTGATACTGCACTGGAGAATAAACTAAAACTTCAAAGGAATGCTTAGAATTCCTTTAAAAGAATATGATGAGAAGAAAACTAGAGATCCTTACCCCTATCTGTATGGGTAGTTGACATTAATGTCGAAAACGCCGAATAAATTATCACGAACCGACGTAAACACTTAGTGAACAAAACAAAATTTGTGGTTTTATTTTTCAGGATCAATGTTCTTCACGAGATACATTCTGCCATCTGGTACCAAAGATGGCATGTCTCATTTAGTATTATTATTATTTATTTTATTCCTTTCAGTTCTGAGGGGAACATAGGGATTCAAGCTTCAGCTCTCAAGTTTCAGTGGCAGTAGTGTAATTCTTAAGAGGTTGAGTCGCTAGCCTCAGGTCCCAGCCTTCTCTCTTTACCGAACTTAGTAGTGGCTTAGCAAGGTGTAGGTGTGTGTCTACTGGGATCTGAACTCCAAACCAAGTGCCTGATTGGTAGACATTTTACTGCCAAACCAAAGACGCATGAATGTTTTTTATAAGTACATGTTCATAGGTACTTATGAATTCAACCACACCATTCCCTTCAATCTAATCTCATTACTGTTTTTAACATCAAAAATTCGGATGAAGAGAATTCGATGGCTGACAAAGCAACAAAGCCACCTTTTGTTGGCAATACAATTTCATACTCTACACGGTAATTTGAAATTCCAGTTGGTCGCTTCAATCAAGTAGGATACGAAAGAGGTGAAGAAACAGAGAAATTGGAAAGAAATGTGTATACATCATGAATTTTCAGATACTGTAGAACACGAATTGCTGAATTTCAGATGAGTATATGAATGACAATATTTCCCACTATAAAGTATTCCGTTGATAATAGGGAGTCATTTCGAGTCTCCAGTTGCCAGTGGTCTTTGATAGTCTTTTAGATAATGTTGCCTTTATGAAGTTACCTACCATGACACAGTTACCTTAGAGCTTACATGAAACTGCCTTAACGTGCACAGTCCATGACATGACAGTAAACATGTTTTATTTCGAGAGTACTCAATACACACACAAAACAGGAAAATGCATAGGTAACAACACACAATATCAAGACAAACTCTTCTTCAAGTACTCTACAGTATAGTAGACACATTCAAACAATAACTATTTTTTCTAAAATTAGATGCCATTTTTAGGAATTGAAAACATCAAAAAAAAATTTACGTTTCGCAAACCATGATCTATCGCTTTTTTAGCAAATTCACGTGGTAGATCCATTGTAGAACCATCATCTGATGGCCCCCATGATGAACAGTACACATTGATTAGATCCGATCGATATGATAATCCTTTAGCTTCTAGGAAATCTGTAACTGCACCAGTCAGAAGACGTATACCTAAAATGTGAAATACAGAAGCAAAATATTTGAACATACAATTCATATAAATAGCTAATGTGGTAATAATTTCATACTGAAATTCTAAAAGTAGTAAGCACACTTATAAAAAATTCTTTGAAAGGTACATGGAACTATTGTTAAACTTCATAGGAGTAATTGACATGGAAATAACTGTGCATTCACTCAGTTAATTTTATTTTGTTTAAAATAACACCTAGCTTTTCGGCTATTATTCATATCTACTAACTGATAAGGCAACCAAAAACCTGCTGATTAAACAATATTTATAAGGAAATGGAAATGGGTTCGACGTCCTTTTAGCATCATAGGCCAGTGGTTAGAGTGGAACCCGAGTGAGAAGCAACGGGTTAAGCATGGCAAAGAGGGTAACATAAAGGATATACCGTGGGAAAGAAATGAAAGTTTGTGGACAGTCGTGGAGTCATTCGAAGATGACAACCAAGTACAGTGGAGATATTCTACTGAAACTTTATGCTCCAATCGGAACCAATAATGATAATAATCATACATTGCAAACTTGACTGATGGAATTCAGTCTGCACTGAAGATAAGACTAGATACATCACACTAGTTATTGACTAATGCCCAATCAAAAATACCCAATACAGTCCTACAGGAGGTCAATCGCGAGCCCGAATAGCTAGCTCAATAGTGACATCTCTGACTGAAGTACTGGGTGATGCCGGTTCGAATCTCAGAAGGGACATGAGTTCCTTCAAGGTTGCAGATATGCCTTGCTCACTAGTGAGTGCAAACTAGCACAAAACCTTGGTCCAAGGCTAGGCTTCCTGCGGCCGATTGCCTCCAACCATATAATACGAATAATTCCGAGTGCAATGTAATGGCGAGCCGCATAGTAGCATGGTAGCCACATTGCAAACTTGACTAGTGGAATTCAGTCTGCACCGAAGATAGGACTAGACACATTACACTAGCTACTGACTAATGTCCAATCAAAAATAATCATATCGATAATTGACATTCTCGTGGATGTAATTTTCCTTGCCATTATTTGGTGAAGAGAACTTTTCCAAACATCTCGCTGGTTGTTTAAGTTAAATAGTGGCAGGGAAAATCAGCCAGTAGTTATATAACTGTGGGGATAGACAGAAAGGCAAACATACATTACTGTGGCTGCTGTAACTACACCAGTCTGTGAGATTTCTAATGAAACAGTTAGTTTAGGAAATATCAAAGTAGTGCAAACCAGCTTCATTCTATTTAGTTTATTTTTCATCTCGAAATCTATAGACAAACTATATGAGATGAAAAATAAACTAAGTGACATACAACTAGGGAATGATGAAACAATGGTTAGTTTTGATATAACTAGTCTTTATACTAACATACCAATCACTATGGCCTTAGAAGCAGTTAAAAAAGGAACTAACTGCAAATCCTGAACTTACACATCGGACAAAGCTGCCTATTGAAGAAATTATTTTAGGGGTTCAGCTATGCCTCACATCTACTGTCTTTAAATTACAAGGCAAAATATATAGAAAAACAGAAGGTGTAGCAATGGGATCACCAATATCCCCTATCGTACCAGATATATTTATGGACAACTGGGAAAATAGTACTCTTAATACATCTAATCCTACTCCAAAAATATGGTGGAGATATGTGGATGACACTTTCACACACAGTGTTAAAAACAGAATATATCTCTAGCTTCTTGACACATATAAACTCACTAGTAGAGGGAATAAAATTCACATTTGAATCGGAAAATGAACAAGGAGAATTCGCTATTATGTTAGATTGTAAAATAAAACGAATAGAACAAGGCAAACTAACGCATTCTAATAGATATTCAGACTTTAGTTCGTCTCATCCGTTAACTGTTAAGGCAGGCTTAGTTAAGTGTTTAACAAACCGAGCCATAGCACTAAGTAGCACAAGAAAAGAATTAAATGACAAAATAAAACTGATAGAAGAAGCGTTAGTGTTGAATAACTATCCTATATGTTCTAACTGTGCTTACCTTTAACAATATATTTAGAGTGCTGTCAGACTTAAATTCTATTCAACCAAATGCATAACTCCTTTCTGAAGTGACGTGCATTTTCCCTCTAAACTAACTTATGGAATTTGGCCTTCTTATTTCTTGGTATACTAGGGCTTCTTTCTATTTTCAGTGTAGAATTTCATGTTGGCATTCAACAACTAAGTCCTGACATTTTATGAAGAGATTCACCAAGTGAAGACAATCAACCTGTGTACAACACTTGAATATTTGTGTAGGTTTGTGAAAGAGCTGACAAAAGAAATTCTGCTTTTCAACCTGAGTCTTTCTTAGTGAACGTATTCCATCTAGTGATACCTTCATGGAGGGATGATTGATTTGAAGACAGATGTCGTCAGGAACTGACACCAGTTACAGAACTAATGAAGTGATTCAAATGACATCAAATGATTATATATATATATATACATTTCAAGGAAACTTTCAACTTTCTTGTTAATAAAATTATGAAACTCACCTCCTATTTTCGTTTTTGGTGCAACACCATGTGAACAGTAACTGTTGTTTGCCACTGCAGCAACAAGACCAGCACATCGTGTTCCATGACTAAAATTAATATTTACAATAGAGAGGTAAATATTAAGTTACCGAATGAGAGACAGTGATTAACTTAGAAAAAAATTCAAAATTTTACCACATCTAATGCTGTAATAATCATAAAGTATTTGTTTCTATTTGCTACTGCAAATACACGTATGCGTTCAGGATAAATTTCAAGACTTTCATCGAAGTAGAAGAGATGATGCATATATACATGTATATATATATATATATATATCAGGCCAAAAAGAACTTATTAAGCAAATGAAACATCATCTAAAAAGAAATCCCAACACTAGGTGTTTCTAGAATCTGATTTAGTGTAGATCACAAGACTGTTGAGTACAGACGTCTGACTGTCTGTCTGTTTTCGACATAGAACTTTGCACATATATGCGGCAGTTCAAGTCGCCACACAAATCAAGAGAAGAAAGTAGGAGAAATTCATATTAGAGACAGTAAACAGACTTGAGAGACAAAGGAATAGTAATAACGAAGAAAAATATAGTTTCATTGAAAATCATAAGTCACAAGGAGTGGATGCATCTGCACCATCCATTGAGAACGATTTTGAGCCATATCACCAATTGTTTCCAACCAATGGTTTTTACCGTCCCAAGGACCCCAACCAAGAAGTCTACACCTTCCTACGTGGCCTAGACTGACTGTTGTAGATTTCATTGACAGGTGAGGCCATGTTTTCGTTTGACCGCCGCTAGCTCTTTTCCAGCCTGACCCTATGTCAGCTAATACTGCCCGTCGAGGAAAGCGATGACTAGGTATGCGTAACACATGTCCTAACCATCTCACTCAGTAGATGTAACTTCACAGCCATGTCGATTGATTTCCCCTCCTTACCTAGCACTCGATGCCTAACCTCAATATTGCTCACCTTATTATGCCACTTCACACGGGAGATAGAACGCAGGCACCTATGATTAAAGACAGCTAGCCAGTTTTTTCATGTCTTCCACTCTCAATGGCCAGGCCTCACAACCATACAGGAGGGTGGAGCGGACTAATGAGCAGTACACCCGCCCTTTGGTCGATAGCCGGATATCATGTCTACGCCAGAGATGGCGTAAACTGGCATATGCGAAACTAGCCTTCTGTATCCATGCTGAGATTTCGTCGGAGATCCACCCGTTGGCGCTGGCTGATGCAGCTTCCCAAATAAGTGAATTGGTCAACGTGTTCTACCACTTCACTCCCTATTTCTAAACTAGGACTCAGTGTATTCCAGTTCTGTAACATCATCTTACATTTGGTGGGAGCGAATCACATGCCAAACATTCGTAGATTGCAGCTCAAGGTATTCAGAAGACTCTGCACTTTGTCAACGTCCTCGCCTGGAAGGACTATATCGTCTGCATATTCTAAGTCAACGAGATTATTCCCTGGTAGCAAGTCAATCCCTGAGTCGCTGAAGTGTGTTAGGGTTAAGTCCATTAGTACGTCTATGATGAAGTTGAATAGTAATGGGGATAATGGGCATCCTTGACGGACGCCACTAGTCGTCACCACTTCAGATGACAACTCGCCATAAGCCCTCACCTGGCTGCATGAGTACGAGTAGAGTGCCTTAATCAGTGCTATGTATTTTCTCGGCATTCCCTTTACAGCCAAGCATCGCCAGAGTACCTCTCGTTCGACAGAATCGAATGCCGCCTTTAGGTCAAGAAATATAGTGATTGTCGGACGCCGGTAGGAATGCCTATGTTCTAGAATCTGTCTAAGGGTGAAGATATGATCAATACACCCTCTACCTGGCCTAAAACCTGCCTGGTTTTCTCGTGTTTGTGTCTCCCGAGCACCACTTAGTCTACGCAGTATTATTGAGCCTAGGATTTTAGATACTATATTAGTCAAGCTAATCCCTCTGTGATTATCACAAGAAGACTTGTCTCCCTTCTTGTATATCGGGATGATCAGTGACTTACACCAACCCTATGGGACTTCCTCTGATTCCCAGAGTGCCTTCCTAGAGTGCCTTTATCAGTGCAATGTACAGAGGTAATGTTCACTAGGACAAACTACAACCATGACTTTTAAAGCTAGATACCTTGCATACACATAAAAACTATTTCCACCGATATCAGCAAACTTAGTACAGTGCATCTCTACAATGAACTTATAAATTACTAGATCCCTTCTTAACTTCATCATTAATTTCAGCTTCTATTATATGAGCGGTTAGTTTGGTTAAAGCCTCAATCTACCACACTCAAGTATAGCAAGCGAAGAATAGAATTTTCGGAAACTGAGGAGACAAACTTCAGCGTTGGTGAAGTTTTGACAACTTCTAATTAACTATTTCGACTCCCGACCGACGCCCTCCTTTATCTCGTTAAGCTTAAGTCGTTCAGTAATAAGACTGGTAAAGGGGGAAGTTTGGTGCAGATGCATCCACTCCTTGTGACTTGTGATTTCCAATGAAACTGTTTTGTTCTTCGTTATTACTATTCCCTTGTCTCACACCTCTGTTTACTGTCTCTAATATGCATTTCTCCTACTTTCTTCTCTTGATTTGTGTGCTAGATGGAGTGTTGCGACTTGGACTGCCGCACATATGTGCAAAGTTCTATGTCGTTCCAGACAGACAGAGAAGATTGGGCATGAGGCTAGCAACCCCATCCCGTAAAAGTAATAAACACTACTGCTACCGCAACTTTAATCCTCTAGCTTGAAGCCCTATGTTCCACTGGGGACGTAAAAGAATAAACAAATTCAATTTTTATATGTCAGTGAGTTCTAAATCATTTTTCTACACCTTTGAGCTTTCTGAAGACTTTGTATCTCAAGTTTGACTGTGGTCTTCTGGGTTGCTCTTTTTCTCTCCCTCTCTCTAAACAACTGGAGTTGTTAAATAAGCTATTTAAAGATTTTAGGTAATACAACAGTATACTGGCTTGCAAGCTATTCAAAAGCAATTACTATTCCAGGGAAGCTATTTCATATTATAGGTGTCACTTAGTCTCTGTATACAAATTAGTTTGTCTATAGGACAATTAGAATTTCTTATATTGATCAGAATTTGCTTTTACTGTGTTCAAGGCTTTTTCCTCTTGTCAAGTGACCTCTTTGATGTCAAAGGTCAGCTCAAATAATGGCCAGGTCTTTAATTCATGATACAGGCTGCAACATGCATCCCACCAGTAAATCTCGCACATGAGGTTTCCATTACTTTCTGTAACAATTTTCAGATAATTTCCAGTGTCTCAAAGGAATCAGGGTATCTATTATCCTTTTTTGCAGTTTGGTGTCAAATGCATCAGTGTTGGGTGATCGGTATTCTTAAAATGCTTTTGACTTCAGTAACAAATACGATTATACTACTTATTTGAGGTTACTTATCTGATAATATTCATAACTGTCAGTTAATTAAAGTGTCGGTGCGTAGGTGGCATAGCGGTTAGGACGCCCGCCGACCATGCACATGGTCCGGGGTTCGATTCCCGGCCGACGCACTCCTTTACCTCGCTAAGCCAGAAATAAAAGCTGGTAAAGAGGAAAGGTTGGGCATGTGGCTAGCAACCCCATCCTGTAAAAATAAACACTACTACAGAAACTTCAAGCTACTAGCTTGAAGCCTTATGTTCCACTGGGGAACGTGAAGGAATAAAAAAATTAAAGTGTAAATGCATCTGAATGAAATCTCATTCAACTGATGAAAATTTTTACTGTTGTTCAGTCAGTGAATCTACACTGGAACTAATCTACTGCAAAATTTGATACGTAATCTTTGGTAATCCTAATTTTTATTATTTTTTCACCTTTCCCACTATTCAATTTCTGTTTCTTATGACAGTAGTCTTAGCCTGACTACCTTCATATTCTAGAGGAGCTTTACTCAGTCCACTCAATTGCAGAAATTCACTCAATTTTCTCATTTTACTCAAATAATGCTCCCTGTATTTCGTAACTGCTACCAGAAACCTACGGTGTTAATGAGACATCTTTGGAAACACACCTTTCGCTGCAATAATAATGTGCTATGTGTATATAGACAATTCCACAGCTTCAGAATGACATGGATGGAGACACAGACTCCGCAGCATTTGCTGCTCTGACATTATGGAAGGGGAATTAAACATTGTGAAAAGAATCCTCCTTGAAAATGGTTACCCGGAATGTCTCACCACAAAATCCACTAAGCGTAAGCCACTAAAACCGCCCAGACTTGCTGCTCCCAAAAGACCTCTCTACCTGAATCTACAATGAAGTTGAGACTCATCATTAGAAATACTGAGAAACTGCATGTCCCCTCACCCACTGAAGAAAACCTTCTTCGCTGCTGAACTCAGACTAACCTTCTCTACGAAACCAAGGATTCGCATGAAAGTGAAGGATAAGCTACTACTGCTGACCTCTTCAATGTGTATCCATCAGTTCACCTGGTCGTGTGAAGTTAGGTAGGTTGGCCGTACCCAGCGTTTGTTACCCAAACGTACCATTGAACACTTTGCCTCATAGTTTTATAAAGGAGAAGAAAGATCACCCGCAGCATATCTTTCCTGCAACACCCGATCGAATTCTGACACCAAGTTAGCCTACAAAAGAACTTCAAAATTATCTACAGAAAACTTGGGAATCTTTGATTGGACACCAGTGACTAGTGTGATGTGTCTAGTCCTCTGTTTGGTGCAGACTGGATTGCAAACCTCACTGATAGAATTCAGTCTGCACCGAACAAAGGACTAGACACATCACACTAGTCACTGGTGTCCAAATAAAGTATCCACTGGAGTCCTATGGGGGTCAGTCGCGAGCTCTTATAGCTCAGTGGTAATGTCGCTAACTGCAGCACTGGGTGACGTTGGTTTAAAAAACCCAGAAGGGACATGAGATCCTTCAAGGTAGTTGCAGATACGCCTTGTGACTGGTGAGTGGCAACTAGCACGAAACCTAATCCAAGGCCGGGCTTCCTACTGATTGCCTCCAACCATCTAACACATGGGTATCTTGCTAAAAGAGTATAAATCAAACTTCTTCAAACCGTAGAAGTGATTGCAATGCACATGTTAAATTCTGAACTCTGCATACAAGAGAAGATTAAATCTACAATGGATCTGATTTGTCTTAACAATCGATATGTAATTTTTTTTAGTTTCTTAATTGTATAACATTTTCTTCCTTCAGCCCCCTATTATCACTGTTGTTAACTTGACTCCTGTTCAATTCTAGTTGAATTCTACTCAGTTCCGTCAGTTATATTACGTCAATCAATTTATTTACTTAACTGGATAGAGGATTTCTTAATTACTTGCTTTTATTTTAATTTCTAAACGATTAACACTTTCTGCATTGCATATATTGTTCTCTGAAATTTACAGTCCTAACGACACATGTCTGGAAATATTCGTTTTCTTGCTAAGATAATTTACTACATTATTATTATTAATGTTTCCTTAAATTCCTAGAGGAACATAGGGCTTCAGCCGTGCGTCTCCATTGCGTTCGGTTCTCTGCTAGAGTTTTCACCTGGCGCCAAGTCTGCTCACACGCTTCCATCTCCTCTTCACATGACCTCCTCCAAGTCACCCTTGCACTGACGACCAACTCGCCGCTTCCCTTTCGGGTTCCACTCGAGCAATGGCTTGTCTAGTGATGTCACTTGATGGTTTGTTTCCTCAGAGTATGACCAATCCATCTCCATTTCTTCCTGTCTATTTGTTTCACAATCGGTTCCTGGTTGGTTCGCTCATTGCCAGAGATCTCTGTTGCTGATCTTTTCTGGCCGGCCATCTGATCTTGAGTGGCATTGAGCGAAGACAACTGTTAATGAAGGTCTGTAGTTTGTTCGAGATGCTCTTTATGATGCGCCAAGTCCCTGATCCGTATAGTAGCACTGGCTTCACATTGGAGTTGGAAATCCGGATCTTATTTTTGATGCTGAGAGTTGTTGACCTCCACACAGACTTGAGAGTAGTGAAAGCTTGTCTTGCTTTTCCGATTCTTGCTTTGATATCCTCGTCAGTTCCGCCTGTAGTTGAAACGATGCTTCCCAGGTAGGTATGTGAGGGAGGTTGTTTCTTTCAGGTTCCTCCCATTTATGCTGATTGTTGTCTGTTGTTGTTGGTGGTGGTGTGTTTGCCCAGGAATCTTCATTATCTCTGTTTTTTCTATGTTCACCTGAAGTTCTATCTTTGATGCTTCTTCTGCCAACTTTTTGCTTTTCGCTTGCATATCTTCCAGTTTGTGGGAAATCAGACATACATTATCGGCGAAATCGAGATCCTCCAAATTTTTTGTGTGAGTCCATTTTATGCCTGTTTCCTCATTGCTCGCTGTTTGTCGCATTATCCAGTCTACTGCAATCACGAAAATCACTGGAGATAGTAGACAGCCAGTCAGCTTTGTCTTACTCCTGTCCTCACTTCGAAGGATTCCGTGAGTTTCCCGTTGTGGATTACTTGGCATGCAGCATTGTCGTACAACTGTTGGATGAGATGTATAATTGTCTGTGGCATCCCATAGTAGTGAAGTAGCTGCCAAATCACCTCTCGATCGACGCTGTCGAAGGCCTTTTCAAAGTCGATGAAGTTGAGATAGAGAGGTGACTGCCATTCCAGGCTTTGTTCAATGATGATCCGTAATGTGGCTTTATATATTTACCATATATATATGCGATTGTACACCTTGAGGTTAGTTTTCATTCGTGAATTTAAGGGTCGTTTTATATTACTAACAGTAAATGTTGTAAAATGAAGGGGACATCTGTTAAATGACGAATATCTCTATAAATTTTTGGTGGAAGTCAAACAGATTAGTTCAGCCACCTGTAATCCACATCTAAGGGACATACGAAAAAGTAACAAAAAGCTAATCATCGCTTGCAGGACACATGAGAGAACCAACAAATACAAACTTTTCAATGTAATGATACTATAAAATATGGCCTTTGATATCAAATATCATTATAATTATTTCGACTTATAAGCATTACTACTAATTACCTATTTCAGTAACTGGCAATATTCTCTACTGATTTTCTTAATGTTGTATTGGTTAGATTATTTGTTTACAGTGTAGATTTTATTACTAGGCGAACACCTGCCTTAAAGGCGAGATTCCAGTCGGTGACCATCATTTTAAAGTTAAAATGTATTCCACAGTTATTCTTGAAAGTCGAACACATATCCTTCATCTTACTTAGATGGAAAAATAACCTTGGAAGAGAGAGCTGTTTGAAAGCAAAACATTATGTATATGCATGTATATATATGTATCCATATAGGCGCATAATTCAAAGCAAAGTTTTAACTCACCCATCATTTTCAGGTATAATTTTCCGTGGTCCACGTGGACTAAGACCATTCGTCTCAGGTCTATCTATATTGATTGATATTGTCGGATCATAATTTTCTGCTAAATCTGGATGTGTTATATCCAATCCATCGTCTAGGATCACAACATTTGAACCGACACCAGTAATATTCTCCATAAAAATTGGATACAGGTTGATGTCTAATCCAATTAATGGACTGACACTTTTACCATCATTCAACTGTAATTTGAGCAATAGGTGAACATTTTCGTTAATATGCATGAATAATATGATAGTAGGAAATAAGTATTCACTTATATGATTATGTTTAATAAAAAGTCTCCCGATTAACAGTGTTTTTCAAGTTGGTTATCTATTTCATCAGAGATTGGTGTCAACTAGCAAATCATCGAAAGTGAAAGAGGACTGGATAACTGTTTTACCTCAGTTTGTGACTACTCAGACTTGCTCAGCCATTACCTTACCAGTGTCACCTAGTAAACATTGATTGATCCCCTGACTGATGTCACTTCATGAAGGAATCTACATGTCAAAATTATGAATCCTAGTGTGCTGTTCACTATCGGTCATCAGATAGATGTCCTGAAGTTTTAATAGGAAGCTCCAGCTGATGCAGTCCACCATGACGGACGTCAAGCACATGTTGACCGATGACACTGGTCGGTAGTAGCATTATATCAGGAATTGACAGAAGATGGATTTTACGGATCGTTGGATCTTAGTGATTCTTTAACTCTGGGTTCATAAAACAAATCTATACAGGAATTAATCAAAATAAAAGGGCTGGACATAGAATTATTTATTTTTCAAGTAAATCCTCGTCTTTGACTTTCCTCTAATATACATGGAGCAATTTTAGTACAATTAGAGAAATGTACCAGTTGTCAGAAATACTGATCAGGATCTGCTTATCTACATTAACCCTAGGGTTATTTTAGGTTTATCTTCATTTCACTTGACAAATTTGACATTATTACTAATACTTCCTTAGACTGTCTGGAAGCACTTTACTCATTTCATGCTCCTCAAGACTAATTTATGTCATTGGTATCACATCGTTTAATTCCCCCACTGAATCTTTTCTCACGTACTTCACGTGCATGCCAACACAGCATTTTAAAGAACACCACAAATATTCTAAAGAATATTGCTGCAAAACATCATCAGTGAATTTACTCAAGGGATTATCTTCCTGGAAGTAAAGATTTCTCTATTTGAAATTATGGCGAGGATTTGTAACTTAGACAGGTATTCTTCATACGATTGTGTTCTCCAAGCTATGTGGTCTGATTGAGAAGCTTTCCTTCTTCTTCTTCGAGATAGCATCTTCACCGCATACTTCAGTGTGAAGTGAATTTCTACGAATTCCCTGTGAATCATATAATAGTCTCGTTTGGCGATTATAGATGCATTCGGCTGTCAATCTGTTAATCACTGACCTCTTGAATTTGATTCTTCCCCCCCCCCCCGTTGCTTGTTGATTACTCTAATTATGTCATTCACAAAGAATTCCAAAATGATCATTCCATACTGAAGTAAGTGCTGAAGATGTTGACTAGAAGGCTAATGAAAACTTTGCAATAAAATCTCATGACTTATAGAAGATAACGACATGAAGACGATTTCTCTATTCAATTAAACCATTTTGCTTTGAATAGTCAGTAATAAATGATATGTTTTGTTCGACAAGAAGGACATCGGTGTAATTCATTTTGTGTCTTGAATTGTCCGACAACATCTATAAATAGATGCATGGAACACGGGGATATCCACCATTCTGTGGCTGTCTGCTTTTTCTTTCCAGTCAACTTATGAAGCCGATTGAGTAGAGAGATTAGAAATATAACATACTAGAGTAAGTTTATTTATAAGCAAAAATCAGCTGGATGAATAGTGAAGAGTAAAATCACAGCCCTGGAAAGCTGTTTCCCCTTAGTTGGAGATTCATCAATAGGGGCAGCTGACTACCCTGTGAAGAATGGTGTTCAAGAGCATCAAGTGTCATGGCGCTATTATTATCATCATCAGTATTCATCCATTACGTCAAATATCAGTGGGTGTTAATTTAGCCAGTCAGCAATATACACACAAAGTGACACGTGTATAGAACTCCATCTGCTAAACTCTTCCAAGCATGGCTTATTACACCATGACTCCGTGTTGGAGCTAAACACAAGTGAGTACTTCACGGTTAATCATTTGAGAAGTTCATGCGGCATCAAAACGTCTTACTTTAGCTTTACGGATTGGACGACAACAAGCGAAATGAAAAAGGACTGAACAGGTTTATTTCCCCCTAGTTGGAAATTTTTCTTCAGGCATATTATAGACTAACTACGAAACCCATTTCAAAATCATAAATATTCAATGACATCAAAGATTATTTAACTTTAAGCAACTGCTTTCAAAACTATTTGTTTCTCACTCTGCAATAAACTTACATACTGCCATGTGTATTTGGCTGCAGGATCGTTCAAATTTACTGCACTTCTTATCTTATCAGCGTATTCAACATACTGTCGGTTGAAATCTTCATCACTCTGCGTTAATAAGAAAAATATGAAAAATAAGAAGAGTTGTTAAGCGCAATATTGGCTAACACGTGACCATCGAATGAAGACTACATTTTGGAGCATGACGTGGCATTCGATAATGTGTAATCATATTCTCTGAGTTGGCTGAATTAAATCGATTAGATATCCATATTGCCAAACGAGATGATGGGGCCAGAACTGCGCTGTTTTCCATATTTCGCTGTTTAGGGATTGCTGGGCTAGAAATCTTTCAAATTTTCAAGTATTGGTTTGTAAGGATTTGATTGATTGGTTACAGGATTTCATTGTGAGTTCACATCAGTTAAAGAAGCAATGGAAGTATAGGAGTACTGGACAGCTGTTTCATCCTAGCTTGGGATTCTTCAATGGTGCGCACACACTGGGGTTCGAGCTCGCCTTGTAGCCAGAAGGTCCTGGGTTTGAACAGTGGCGTTGGGTGCCTACCGATGAAGAGTCCAAAACCAGGATGAACCAGCTTCCACTGTTTCTCTGACTGATGTCAGCTCATGGTGAAATCTTTCAAAATTTATTTTTCTTGTATTGTAGTCTTTTTTCTAAGCTGCACTATCTTTTATAAGAATCAACCCAACATCAGTTAAAGAGAGTTATTAAAATCCACAGAGCACTGGACGAACGTTTCGTCCTAGTTTGAGGCTCTTCGGCAGTGCACACCAACGATATCACTACAGACTGAACTCAGTATCTTCATGTCCTGAATATGAATGTTTCTCTAACTAATATATATATACATGACAAAGTCTTTACTGAAATCAATCGATATTCTTACAAACGCAAACTTTTTGAAAAATTCTCTACTGAATAATCTCATTTAGGTTCTACTTTCTGTATCAGTAAGACAGCAAAGAAATTGAAAGTTTATTATTTCCACTTATACTGGATGAAAAAAATGATGTCTTTTCGAAAAAATGGAAAATAAAACAAGAATTACTCCCTTACAGCAGACTTTTAGCAACAGAAACATGAATGCATTTCGGAAAATGATCTCAAGTCATTTCATTCAATTATCGGATCGTCTATATGGTCGATTCTATTCATTTAGAGTTATATTAAATGAAAAGTAAGTTGAAGGCAAACACTGGTTTAACAGTGTTGTTTAAAACTCTCAGAAATCATGTTCCTACTGGCCGCAGTACATATCACAGTGATAAGTAAGTCTTTGGTGAAAATATAATTAATCTTGGACTGGTCAATCTCAACTTCTGATTTCTACACTAATTTTGATGAAATGATATTTTTTTAATGATGGGAGAAGTGAATTTCACGATTGGGTAAGTACTGGATGGTTTCGTGGGATTATTCGTCTCAAAGGCAACATATATGACATTAAAATATTAATATATGGATAAAACTTGGGCACTCACTGTGGTAGTAAATAATTCCATATTAGTTTGTTTATTAGATATATCACACACAGTGAAACAGTATTATTTACTGGATGACGTTTCGAACAAAATTTATTGTTCATGATCATATCAATTGTAATCACACGACTTTGACACTTGAGTTTTATAGCTTTCTTTGTTCTCTCCTATTTGTCGTATGGGTAGTGAAATTTTCAAAATATCGGGGACAGGTGATGAATCATTCCTATTACATGTATTTGCAGTTGATTCGATAAACAAAGCTTCTGCTATCAATCTCTCCCTATTCCCCGTGACATTAGATTTTAAAACTGTCATCCTATCCCATCCTATTGTATGGTTATGTGTAACTGCATGTAGTGAGTGGTATGGCTGAACTATTCTCTAGATTTCTTATCTTATCCGAGTCAACTAATCTAGATTTTGCTAGGTTTTTATGTTCAGCTAGTCTGACTGACTGCCCCTGTTCTACTAGTTTGACCTATGTATTTGACCTGACAATCATTGCAGGGTATTCGATAAACTAAATTGTTTCAGGATCCTTTGACCGACAAGGCTTGTTTCTAATTGAGTTTGTGGGTTTGAATGCCAGTCACTTTTATTCCTGCCTTGTTAAGAATTCTGCGTAAGGCTTCCGAGGTTCCTTCCTTGTATGCATACAAGGAAGTTTCACAGTCATGTGATTACGCTTGATATGATCATGAACAATAAATTTTGTTCGAAACTGTGTCATCCAGTAAATAATACTGTTTCACTGTGTGATATATCTAATAAACAAACTAATATGACATTGAAATATATTAATTATTTTACAACAAATGAAGTTATTGAAGCTGGTGGCTTCAGAAAATCCATCAGATCTTATTTTAAATCTATTTTTAGTTGATTAACCATCTGCCTTCAGTCAGTACTGAAGATAACATGGTCACATAGGTAAACAGCGAGGAATTACCTGGAATGAACCAACAAGGAGCCTATCTCATACCAATAGACTGAAGGAAATGGAGTTAGGTCGGATATATGCGAAGAAAACTGATGGGGGATTATCCTACACCAGCCCCTCGAGTGGAATTCGAGTGCATGTCCAAGGGTAACTTGGAGAAGACCACCTGAGGAAGAGATGAGAACTTATGGATATTCGTGGAGCCAGATGAAGAGGATTTCATAGAGCTGGGAAAAACAGAAATGTGATGTTACAGCCTTTCCAGAACAAAATATTTAGAGCGAATAATTGTTTTCAATAAATTCTTCTTCAGACTCTACAATTATAAATCCATTAATTTAAGCACACGATAGCCAGTAAAGGCAAATTAGAATCATATCAGAAAGTGTATTGTGGAACAAGTATAAGATGGGATGGAAGTAATTTAATTTAATGATATATATATATATATATATATATATATATATATATATATATAGATTCAGGGTGTGTGAGACAATATGAAAATAAACCAACGAATGGGGTGGACTAGACATAAGTTCAAGGTTGAAAATAACGACAATAAGCATGACTGTAAAATAATAACGACGATATGGTGTTGAATTACAAATACTATTGGTGAATGATTGTCAAATAATAACAATGAATATAATGAAGTGGAATGAACAGGATTTTGTAAATACGATAGCAAGTTAGAAAAGCACTACTTGAACCTAAGGTAATAAAATCATAAGAAAGGTCATGAAATCATAAAAGTCGAAAATGAACGTTTGTCAATGAAACAGAGGAATAGAAGAAGAAGAAAAGAAAAGAAAATTGTGAAAGGAATTTATAGTGTTAATGGAAGATTTGTTGGCTTTATTGTAGGCCAAGGTAAACATAGAGGTTGAACATACTTCTTCTGTATACAAAGAGGTGGTCTTCTGGTATTAATTGCCACCGCTTCAGCTACTGATAGAAGACGTAGTCGAGCTCCTCTAGATAAATTACTAAGAACGCGGTAAATAACTGAGAACGCCTGGTCAAGTTTTTCGGGTGTCCCGTATCTACCAAGTGGGCCAAGACTGCACTGTCTGCACATTTGGTTACTCCTTTACTCAACCACACAGGTACATGTTCACACGCGCGCATGGATAAAGCCCTCTGAGTACGGCCAATTTAACTAGCTCCACATGAGCAGTTGAATTCGTTCCACAATACACTTTCTGATATAATTCTAATTTGCCTTTACTGGCTATTGTATGCTTAAATTAATGGTTTTATAATTGTAGAGCCTGAAGAAGAATTTATTGAAAACAATTATTCGCTCTAAATATTTTGTTCTGAATAAATTATGGGAATATTCAATTTAAAGCCTTTTGTTCCAGTCGGAACCCTAGTAGGCTAAACTCCGAAAGGTTAATATATATGAAATGGAAACAAGTAACATTCTTTAGTGTTTTCCAAAGTATATGAGAATTAACAATTTTCAGTACCCTAATAGGTGGTAAAACACGGATACAAGACAGAGAACAGCGGGATGAACAAGAACTACAGATTAATTATACATAATATACTAGAAAGTTCGTGAACTAACCGATAAAGAAAAGCATTAAGTTACATAGGAATGAATAAATGCGATAGGCGAGGTTGCAATATTTCGAATGTATTTTCTTCAGCTTAGGGAAATAATCATGGTCCTTTCAGCATACTAATCGTCTTTTAAGCTTAAATGTCCCCGATTAAATATTCTGGTTGAGCTGTTCTAGTAGACACACGATTTTTAGAATATGGTAAGGAAATTTTGTAAGTGCACTCCACTCAATCTTTCCTATATCCTTGTCCCCAAGTGCATGTACACTACTAAACGTAACGGAAGTTTCATGTGTAAGATATTTATTTCGATTTTCGCCAATAAAATGAGCATTATTTGAAACACGATGGAATAACTCAACTTGCAGAGGTATAAATCAATTGATTCTGTCTCCGATTCTTAATGATATTCCTAACTATCTTCTGTGCAAGACAGTTGAAAACTAGCTTGTTTTCATTAGCTGCAGGATAAGCATCAGGAAACTCTGGAAACGCAAGAACCAAAAACCTACCGTTCAGTAAATATGCCACAGAAAGTGGAGATGAGTCGGACAACCGCTGGGGAGACCACTGGGTGAAATCTTGTGCCAGGCTGTCAAGTGGAACCCAAATGTGAAAGGGCAGGCTGGATGTGGATTCGGGGGTGAACATGGAAGAGGTCGTGAAGCCAGATAAAGAGGGCTGAGGATAACAGGATGAAATGCGGATGTTCTGTTGCGGCTCTGTGTTCTACCTCCAAATTACACTAAAGTATTTCTAGCAGATTCTGCGTGACAGCCTATGGAATAATCAAGTGATGTTTTTTACCACAGACAGCTTTTTTTTCAACTACGCCATCATTTCTGCGTTGTAAATTCAGACCTAGGACTTGTTGTCTGGTTTCCAGACGTCAAGGATGCTTTAACCATATTAACAAAACAATATCTTAGATTTCGTTTACTTATAAAACAATACAGATAACGAATTTCGCGAGCTTATTAAGTTTAAAGGTATAGTCTCCTGTCTAATCCATCTCGTTGTTACTGATATCAGGCATCGCGAACTCTTTCTCAATGTACTTCGGCATGAGAATTTTCATCTAGCGTAAG